AAAAAAAAAAAAAAAAAAATTGCGTATGTGAAAACTAACCCCCCCAAATAGCACATATTTGTAATTTAATTAATCTGAACCTTTCTTCAGCCCAGCAGTAGAATATTTTATAGGGAGGGCCTGGAAGGATTACTGTTTTTTGTTTGTAATGAGGGCTCCTTTCCCGTTTTGAGCCTCAATTTTCTGCTGTTAAATAAGCGGTGGGTCTGGCTGATCTCTACAAGACAGTGATGATTCGCGTTTTAATATCTTCAGTTGAAAAGTGAAATTATGAAACTAGTTTTATTGGGGGGCTCCTTGCTATATAGACTGGCTAGGCTTGAATAGAAGCAGCATTGAAAGATGGGGGAATAGTTATCCCAAAGTCAGATTCTTGGGGATTATACTTGAAATACACAGCTTTGGGAATGTCACACTTATTTCATCTCTTAGGGACTGTATTGCCTTTTAATCTTTTTTTCTTTGACTTTATCTAAATACTTAAGAAAGGTAATGCCATGAGTCTAGATCGTTGGCAGCAGCTGGAAAGACACTTTTCTTTTTTGTAAATCCTAAGTGGAAAATGTCTTTGGCCGTATTGCTGCTATAGAAAAGCTATTTAACCCCAGTGAACAGTTTCAGGAATAAAATCGCGTAAACTCAGGCCAAAAAGCATAGAAAACAGGGATAGAGTGTGTTTAGGTTTTCATTTACTTGAGAATTTAAAGTTCTTTTGCATCTGTAAACTAAAAGAAATGATACAGAAATAAATGTAAAATGGAAACTGGCTAATTCCAGTACTAATTTTGAAAAGAATGTTCTGAAATAAACTAAGAACTAGAGAATAGAAATTGAGTGAATAAAATTTCTCAATGGAACCTTATTTTTCATTAAGTTAAGATGTAAAAATTGCATGGTCCTTAAATGGCTTGATTTTTATGCAGCCTGGTGGGGGAGAAAAAAGACAAAACTAAAACTCCCGTTAATGTTTCTAAGGTTATCAGTTTTAAGTGATTGAAAAACATTGTTTGGTTCTAAGTTTTTAATTGTATAAGGTTCAAAACACTCTGACCTTTTGGGTAACATGAGACTTTTTTTTATTAGTAGTATTAATCATTAAGTCGGTTTTAAAAACCTGGGTCTGAGACAGGTAGCTTTTTAAAAGTTCATCTCTAAGTCAAACTGATTTATAAAATGGTTTTCTAAGTTAAGCAATTAAAAAATATACATAAACTAAGTCAAATAATTAAAAAATGGATAAGTATACAATTTGGAAAAATAGATATGTCAAAAAATGTACAAATATATTTAGCTAACTTAGGCAATTGCTTGAAAATAGATTTCTAAATCACATGTCTAATATATGTCTAAATCAGAACATTCAAAAATATTTTCTGTAATCCCATTTAAAATGTTACATATTAGTCTATTTTAAATCTATCTCAGATTATAGGCAATCAGATCATTTTAAATATCCTTGTAGTCAACTCAGACTTATCTAAAAAATACTTTGCAATTAAAAATGGTTTGCTTAAGGTAGAATTTTAAAAGAAAACATATTTATATATATTAATTGTGTACACTAAGAAACATGACATGTCATACATTTCTGCTGTATTTAGGGGTGAAGTTTTATATCAAGTTGCTCACAATTGATGCTACACACAAAATCGAATACGACATAATGTTAACATGACTAAATAGATGATACTCTTTTTTCAACTTTTCTGTAAATTGGAAACAAACATTTTTTGGGAGAGGCCATGTATAACAAGCACACTGTTTAAGAATTTCATTGAATAACGAGTGTTTTTCACTACATATCTAGCTCATAAAAAATTTAAAACCTCAGTTCTGACATCTAAACTTCAAAACCATGTAACAAATCAAACAAAATTATAGCTGTCAAATTTGAATATGGACTGGGTTGTAGGTGATATCAAGAAATTATTAGTTAATTAAACTAATTATAGTTAATTGCTAATTAGAGGCTTATTGAAATGATGAGTAATGAAATTTCAAAATATCACTTATTTCATGTACTTAACCCCCTCCCCCAATAAAGGGAACAAATTAGGCAAAATGTTACTAATTGTTAAATCTGTTGATGAATATGTGGGGGGACTTTATACCATTTTACACACTCTTCTGTGTGTTTGAAAAATTATAAATAAAAACTTTAAAAGTATATACCAGTCACATTAAAAACATGAGTGAAACAAAAGGAGACAATTTGTAAATAGGTAATTGTAAACTCAGGTAATTAGAAAAGAAGTAACTAAGCTCTAGATTTTAACTTAATTTTTAAAATCTTAAACTTGAAATTTCTAGTTCCTAGTTAGAAAAAAAATCTGTAGAAGTTGATTTTGGTGTGTGTATTTGTTATCTCACACACAACTCGAAATAAATCACATCTCAAGTAATAGTTTTGGGTTTTGGGTTTTTGTTTTAGTTCTAACCTGAATTTTCATATCCTTATGTAAGGAAAAGGCTGTGGAAATTAATTGGAAACTAGGGTTTTGTGTGTGCATCTCACACACCTCTAAACTAAGCACACCTAAAACTGTTTTATCAAAAAACATAACCATGCCTTTTTTTGCATCCTAGTTTGAGGGAAAATGGGAAATTGGTTGGTGGTGACAGTGGGGTTGTTGTGTACCTGTCTATGCATACAAAGAGGTTGTGCTGCATTCAGGCAGACATGTCACAGCTAAGCAGGAATTTAGGGAGGATGTGCAGTGACAAAACAAACCCAAGTCCCAAGGACCAGAGGGGACCTATAGGTCACCCAGCATCCCCTTCTGTGATAACCCCTGTGCCTGCCTCCCTTGACCGTGTTCTGTGATGGCGATAGGAAATTCCAGCAGCTGCTCACGCCACCAAAAAGTCTTTGCCTATATTAACCCAGTTGTGTCTGAATCTCACGTCCTGTGGCCCTAGCCCTGGTTCTGGCCCTCAGGGTCTCTGACACCGGAAACCTCTTGCTGCTCCTGCAGGATAACCCTGCAGCCGCCTTGATCCCTGGAGCTTTCTCCTGCTCAGCAGTCCCGGCTCAGGCAGTGTGGTTTGCCTATGAATCAGCTCTAGTTTTTCTGTATCCTTTTTAAAGTTCAGCACCCAGAACTAAACAAAATTCTACTCAATTGTGTTCTTGGTTGTATTGATAATAGCAAACCTAAAAGTTAGAAACAGGCTAGGGTTTGATTTTTAGGCTGTCGGCAAAGTGCAGTTGTTGCCCTTTCTCATTCATTCTGTTCCGGCCTGTTTCGGATGTGCCCTGTCATGTAGTGCCTCAGGGCAGCAACGTATGGGAATTTAGGGCTAAGTCTCACTGCGGCCGACTCCGAATGTCTTTCGACAAGCTTTTAATTAATCTCTTCGGACATCTTCTGCCTTATTTGTAAATGGAGGGTTTTGAGTTAGGTGATTTCCTGTGGCCCTATGGATTCAACAATGCTCTCTCAAGTTCTGTTTTAATACACAGTTTCTCTCCACCATACAGCCTTAGCTTTGGTTTGAAGAGGAGAGAGACAGTTAACAACGTTACAGGGTTTGTTACTCCAGTGCTACCAGCAGATATCCTTAGAAGTGGCTCCAGTACTGTACAGAGTAACTTGGACGTTACTGACGCCAAGTGCAGATTTTAAGGCAGCACCGCATTCAAGCAGTTACAGGCATCTTGGCTTTAAGAAACTGGAATGAATTCACAAAGTTAAACATTCATTTAAAAAAATGTATGAAGTTTTAAATGAATGACTGAAAAGTAGGTGTTGAGTTGCTGTTCTGATCTGATGAGGTGCTGTATGACTTGAGTAATTGCCTTTGGTCTCCAGGAATGGATCTAACAGAGGGATTGGGGCTACTTTGCTAGTGTTTACTGCTTAATCTACTCTCTGCTTTAAAATAATGCATAATCTATAAATGGAAGCTAGAGTTAATTGGTCTTAGATTAGTTTGAAACTAGCGCATTATTTTTAATAAAATATGGTGTGCTTTGGGGGGAAAAAAGAAACTAAGGATTAATTAACTATGGCTGTAGGAAGCCTGCGGTCCTTCTCCAGTCTTGACTGTAATTATTAGCTAAGACTTATTGAGAGCTTACTATGTGCCTGGCACTGGGCTAAGCCATTTCTATATGCAACCTCCTTTTATCCTCACAGAACTCTGCCAAATAGATGCTGTTGGTTTTCTCATGATACCGATGAGAAAACTAAAGCTTAGAGAAGGTAGAAAACTTGCTCCGTGTTGCCCACCTGAAGAGTCTGCAAGCTGGGAATGGGAATGCTGGCAGACCTGGCTGCAGAGCCCTGCGCTCACCTACTGGGCCACCAGCGGCTGGCTTCTTTCACCTGTATTCGTGCTGTGGGTCCTGGAAAAAAGAAGGACCCACTGCTTAAAATTTTTTTCCCTACAATAAGATGGTGTCTTTCTTTATCACACTTTACAACCATACAGAGTCAATTTGAACTTGCATATTGAAGGTTCTAAGTTTTAGTCCACACTGAATCTGTTGGAAAATTAGTTCTCTGTCTTTACAATCCAAGTATGAAATCATTGTATATTTCTCTTTAGATCTATTTGCTTTTCTGCTTTGAAGGATTCCGTTTGAGCAGTGAGGTCTACTTGAGAATAAGGGAACTTTGTTGGATAAAAGTGAAGCAAACTTCTATTTTGGCAGTAACGGAAATAAAGTAAATATCACTATAGTATAGACCTGAATTTCCAACTCATTTTGCTCAACTTTTCCAGACTTCCTGAGTAAACACAGATGGGTTTCCACTTGTTTTTCAGTTTTATGTAGAAAGTTTTTAGACTATTCCACATGCTACTTGGAGTTTTCAGTATTTGCTTGATTGTGTGCCCTTGGCAGGTCAAAAGCCTGGATTTAGACATTATAGAGATCTAGAAGGTGCTGATATGTAGTAACATATCTTCATCTGGCTGTGTTTTGATTTTTCCTGATGGTAGTTCTAAATGTTTTAATTCAGGTCTTCTGGTGATTTGGTGGCAGGAGTTTTCAAAGCCTTCCATTTTTAAATAGCAAAATGGGGAGGGAGGGGAAAATACACTTACACATTCTGAAGCCTGGTTTTCTTATTTGTAAAAAGAGAGCCGTATGTAGTCCCTAATTCTGATTTCACCTCTTATCAACTAATAACTGTAGAAATCAAAAGGTCAGGGTGTGTGCTTGGTTAATAATCACAAAGACAGGACCATGTGCAGCAGAGATCTTAGCCATGGTTTGCAGCAATACTTTGTTCAAAGATAAGAAGCTGAGGAGCTGCCATGAAACAGCCAGATGTGCAGACTAAGATACTGAAATTACGTGTTCTGCCTTGGCTTGTTTTAGTCATAAAAACACTTCAGTGCTTTCTTGCTGAAAACGTTAAGCTTTTAAAAATAAAAATTTTCCTTTTTCTTAAAGTAAAAAGTAAGTCAGAGTTCCATTTGACACTCTCTTCTCTATTAATATCTTCTACTACTACTCTTGTGGCAGGGTATGTGTGTAGATGTAGTCTCTCTGCTCTCAGAGCCAGTTGTGGGGCTGAGGAGGACTTGTAGCTTCCTATAATGTCAGCTCATTGAATTTTTACACGGAGGAGTGTTGTTTGATTACATTTTTATTGCTGTCATTGTTTAATAATATTTTGGCCCTGATAAACCAGTTTCATTTGCACTATTAATTTTTAAATAATGAAATTATGTTTGGTTTCCTAAATTTACTACTAAGCATAAAAAAAATCAACACAGCTGATAATTGAAATTCACCGCTAATTACTTCAGTGATCAATATGGTAAAAAAAAAAAAAATGACCTAGTTGTTTAGATCATCTATCTATCATCAGCAAATGTCTGTTGAGAAAGAGTTCCGTATTTGCCCTAAAAAGAACCTTTAATTTTAAATTTGAAACTTAATCCTCCGCCTGCTGCTGCTGCTTCCTTCCTTCTCCCCCTTTGAAAACATCTCTTTATCTTTTTGTTTTGTTACTTGCTTTTATAATAGCTTTTAAATAACAATTTGCTTTCTAGACTAATAATAATATATGCCAAGCAAATGGGAAGAGCTTTTCTTTTCTTTTACCGCCTGTGTCTCTCTCCGGGGAGAGTGGTCTCTCGGCTTGCTTATTACCACGGATAAAGCCGTGTCTGCAGAGGTGAATTTGCAGAGATCTTACATATGTGGTCACTCAAACATTACCTGAATAAAACCGTAGACGATTTTGTGGGTTGTTCATTTTCTAATTTTGCTGCATTTGCAGGGCTGGCTTACATGTAAAAATATGCACTTATTTGACATGGTAAAATTACATCTTGGCTTTGCTGTGTATTTTATCTTCCTAAGGGAAATTTAGAATATCGTATGTGGTAATTTGATATTTATGAACTGATGAGCATTATATTTTAGCGAAACTAAAGCAAATGTGTTTTGTTTCTATTGTATTTTAATTTTTACAACGATTGTTTGTTTGTTTCCTCTTTCATTTACCAAAACAACAATCACAGTAAATACAAATAAAAAATATATCTTGTCTCTTTTTTTAAAAAAAGGAAGAATTGGGAGGGGGAGATTTTTTTAAATGCCTTGGTCAAGTGGATCTCTGTTTTTAGTTGACTTCAGAGTTGCTTGAAATCTCAGTGTTTCCTCAACTGACCATACCATATCTGTCTGTCTGTCCCCATCCTCCTTTCTTCCTGCTGTCCCTAAATCTGGATGGGGCTGATGGGAACAACATATCTCTTCAGGAGCTGGATGAGGTATCGTATTTTGAATATTTTTGTATGTTAGTTAATAAAATTATGCTTGCTTATTTGAAGTCTTTGGTCATACTTAAAGTGCTAACAGCTTACACATATCTTAGCATTTGTTTTGATTACTTATAGTTGTGTTTAACAATTTAATACTTAGGATTTATTTGATATATCTTCATACCAGGTAAATCGATATTTAGAGAATGGTTTAGGCACATTATTTCCTATTCTTGAGAAAATGTCCCAACTTTGAAAGCAGTAAAGGTTGAACATTTCCTTGAACTTAAGCTAGACTGTTTTTAGAATTATGTGTGTGACTCCCTAGATTTCTGAAAAATGTGTAGTGAGATACTCAGGTGTAGTTTAGGAGGACAGGATGTATGGTGGGAACCCTAAGGAAGTAGGACTTACAGCCACTGATTGGCTAAGGGGTCTTCAGGTCACTGTGTGGGGATGATGCCTGTGAACTTGTGTGTGTGCTGCCTGAGCTAATCATTGCATGGCCCCCCTCTGCCCCGTCTAGCAGCGCACTTCTGGCCTTTTCACTACTTAGCAATTCACCCTGAGATGGAGAGAGTGCATATTCATAGCTCTTATTCTAGTAGCGCTAATAAAGGGTTGAGGGAAAGGGAGATTGAACTGATTGTTAATTTTGTGTTTCTATTATCTGTTTCAATGGTAAAGGGGTAAAAATATTTTTCCTGAGGGTAGATCTTTTAAAAAGTAATTGTGGGGAATGTTTTTTCTTTTTGTTTGTTGTAATTTATAAGTATGATCAGAGAGGTGGGATTAGAGTGAATGTCTTCAAAACCAGTAGGGTTCCTGACCAGTGGGTTAAGACCCATCTGTAAATTCTAAAAACCTTAACTGGTTGATAATAACAGATGGGGAACAACCTGAACATCTTCCACTGAGAACTGGGTAGATTACATAGTGTCTCTAATTCTCCATACCTTTTGAAGAATGCAGTCTCTCAGTGAGGGCGGCAGCAGAGTGAGCCCCCAGACACACAGCTAAGTGGGAAGGAGTCTAATGCAAAACCATGTGAACAATGCGATTCCTGCCTTTTTTTTTTTTTTAAGAAAAATAACTCACATTTATGCTTGTGTATACTTAGAAAATTTCTGAAAAGAGACACAAACTGTAAATAGTGGATGCCTTCCAGGAGAAGTCTGGGATGGAAGAGAAGCATCCTTTCTATTGCAAACCCTTTTCTTAGGTTGGACATTGGTTTTTAGACCATGTGTATGTGTTCCTTTTTGTCACTTAAAAAACTTGGTATTTAAAAACAGCTACTTTTAGATGGTGGTCCCTTGAGCTGTGCCCACCTCAGGAACCTCTCGCCAGCAGCTGGCCTGGGTCCTGGGCTCTACTTAAGCTCGCAGACAACATGTAAGCCCTTCTGGGGCCCAGTAGACGCGGGAGGATTTGTTGGGCAGCCTCTACTGCCTTACGGTTTGGGGGCTTAGAGAGCAGGCCTTTCAGAATAGATTGTTACTCCTTACCGAGCAGTTTGTAAGTATGGGACTTGGGACTCCGAAAAGGAAATATATGATAGCAAACAATTATTAACAACTTCGGTTGAAGAAGCATTTGAGCACTTTTCCATGAAGGGCACATCAGTGGTCGTATGGACTTAGGGGTCTGCCATCTGAACTGATTTCCAGTCTTTCCTACAAGTTCCAGAAACTGGCCACCCAGTGTAGGAACCACACAGCCCTTTTACATTTCTTACTCTTAGATTCTGTGCTTAACGGGGGTCTCCACAGTCTGTGACCAGGGACCCTGAATGGGGAGCCACTCTCTCTACACACAACCCTCATGTGCTGTTAGAATTCTTTGAACTCAAAGCCTGGTCTTTCTGTTATGGGTACTCATGGCCACCTCATCCCATGAGCATTTCACTTGGCCCTTGTCCTTTGTCCAGAATCGTTGTATCTTTTATGAAGAGTAGCTTCCAGAATTGTACATGACACATACTTTATTTACTTCATTCATTCCATCCACTTACTGCTGACTCATTCAGCTACATTTATTACTACTAAGTATACTTATTATTACTAAGTGCCAGGTGCCGAGCTGGGGCTGCATCGGGAATAGTGTCCAGACCCTTGCTTCACCAAGGCTGTGGTAGGGCTTCAAGTCACTGTGTTCTGGGAATAGTAAAAGTGACCCCCAACTCTTTGTGTGGAGTTAAATGGAAGCCCACCTCTTTGTAGATGAGGCCTGAGCACACTTCCCTGACTGCATCACTTGGGCCTCCCAGAGTCAAGCCACTGAGGGGCTTCCTGCAGTCTACCCATACTCTTGCTTAGACTAGCTGGACAATCTGCCCCCCCACCCACCCCGCCCACCGCAGGATACAAACCACTCTTCTTTCTTCTCCAGAATACTAATTAAGGTTAACTAAGGTGTCTCCTGAGAAGGAAGCCTACCTACCATTCACTCTCTTGTCCAGAGGAGTGTCTGGCCGTCCTCTGTTCTCTTCTCTAATCTACTTTCCCTTCTGTAACAAAAGTCACCTCCCAAATACTTGGGTCTTAAAATTCATAATAGGATGTATTTAAAAATTACAAAATATAAATGTCAAGCTCCCAAACCACATAGCCTGGGGAGGGCAAGGTGATGCAGTAGGGACATGAGGGTACTTTTGAGAAAGTCTCTGAACTGGCTGGGTAGTTGCAAACGGGGGCAGCTCCCTTACAGGGTTGCTGTTGGGACCGAAAAGGGCACGTCAGCAGAGGCGCAGCACTGACAGGGTGCAGAGTTGCTGCTCTCCACTTACGGTTTTTTAAGGGTGTGTATAACAGTTGAGAAACAGAAAAATAAATGAAACTAGCAATATTTATATCCGAGTAGTATGATTCGCAGATCTTTTATTTCTCTTTTTTTTGTACATTTAAAAAAGTGTATTCTGAACATTTCTTGTGATCACAAACAGTAATCACTGTTTTAGAGCTATTGCAGGTTTGACAAAAAGCTGTAGTCTGGCATCTCTGATTCTCTTACTCACGTACTTACTCCCGTCCTCAAAGAACCGAGATTTCTTGAGCCTAATGACTGTTAGCGAAATCATCAAGCCCCTGAGCCCAGGGAGTTATGCTTGTGGTCTGACTTCATCATGCATGTTCCCAGATCATCTCATAGAAGCGAGAGTTGCTAGGCTATAATTTTTAGCATCGCTTCTGGACTTTTTAAATGTTCGTTACTGTAGGCAACAGTCAGTATTGTTTCTTATGACCAATGCATTATGGCTGAACTTAGTTTATTATTTTTTTTAGGTGGGGTGGAGGGAGACGTTTGCCAGACTTTTCTAATCTCTATGGAGGCTTAACAGTGCATCACATCAGCCTTCTTGTAAAGGCAGTTCTATAGGAGTAGGAAGGCTGTATATTTGGTACAGCAAGATTTGTATGAGTGCGTGTGTATGTTTCTTTCATAGATGAAGAACTTGTCCGTACTGGCTGGTACTCTTTACACATGTCAATGTCTCAGGTGAATCAAGGACAGCAGATACCTTCAGTGGGACTGGACTAGCAGGAAGACGCTTGGGTGTGCTGCTTTGAGCAGCCCCTAGAACTTTCCTGCACTGATGAAGTTGAGTTAGATGACTCTGGATTAGGATAGCACCCCCATAGTTCTTGGAGGACAGGGCTACAAATCAGAGAGACAAGAATTCTAAGAATAATTTTTACTTAAAAAATATGGAAAGATTTTTTACTTCAGAAGAACGAGTTCATTTAAGACAAGCTTTAATGACCAACATCATGTATTTGGAAGGGGTGCTAAGTTGAAATTCAGCAAGGATTAGTAAAGAGAATTACAAATCTGCAGTTTTTTAAGATCTGCATTGACTGAGAAGACAATTCGAAAACTGATATATCCTGGATCTTGAAAAAAATAAAAAAACATGTTTTCAAATGGGAAGTGAGGGTTCTGAAGTTGCAAGGGTAATTTTGTTTTGCACTTACAATGTATTTCTTATGTTCATATTTATTTCCATTTCAGATAACTGACATTTATCTTCAATTATGTTTTTCTTTCCCCAAACATTGTCTTTTTTAAAAATTACAAATCCATACCAGTAAAATAAATGCCACATTTCTTCCGAGTAGGGCTGCATTTCTTTATCATGATGAACTATTGCTATAGTGTACCAAAAAGGGGACAAATTATTCCATATTTAAAGTTTGCAGTCCCCAGGAATCAGCTGTTCACTGGCAAAGTCCTGATACAGTGTGTGGGGCAGCAGAGGCCAGCTCAGTGGGCTGCTGTCTGCTCCCTCTATATAGGGATCTCCTAATTAGCAAGCTGCCTTAAGACACTTAAGGAGAGTGAGTGTGTTTGACCCCATTTTGGTGTACATGCATTTTGGGTGAGAATACATCTATTGTATAAAATCAAGTATTGCTTAGAAGAGTTGAATCAACTTTAAGTGAGCACACATGATTTATAATTTCTCTTTTTTTCAGATAAATTGATACTAATTTCTATGTAGATAAGTTTAGATAAATACCATCTCTATATCTGTTTTAGTTTAATGTATATCTGTAAACAGTAAAACAGTATAAAATAAGATCATGAGTTTAAAAACTATAAACAAATTATTATTACTCTATTGAAATATGGTATGATAATAATAGTGGATTAGATAATAAGCTGGCATAGTGGAAAATCTGTGACCCGTGAAGAGGTGCCTTAGAATTTGGGGTTTTGCTTTGTGTAAACAGAGGTTTAAGTTCAGGCTCTGCTCTAGAAGGGCAGAGACGGGCAGTCCCTGGCTGCATGGTTTGTGCTTCTGTCTCGGTCTATGTGCCCTCCACAAAGTTGCACACTTTTTTGGTGACTTTGGAGCAGGAATTTAAGGAATGACAGCTCTGTCTCTCACTGTGTGTGCCTGCTCTGTGTAAGATCCGGTCTGCACCGGTCCCGGCAGCCACAGGTGGTCGGTGAGAGGGGCCACTTTGCATTGCTTTATTTGCGGCCCCAGAGTCTGTCCCGGTGCAGTTGGTGGGGAGTTGGGACTGCATTTTGGTTGTTTTAATCTGAAGACTTGTTGTCCTGGATCGTTTTCTTAGCAAATTGCAGTTATATTTCATGGGCCTGCCAAAGTGATTGGCAGCTTGTGGAGTAGATGGGGCTTCTGAAGTCAGCAGGCCTAGGTTTTTAATCTGTCACTTAATAGCTTTATGACCTTGGGCAAGCTACTTAACTTTGCTGAGTTTCAATTTCCTCATTTATAGATTGGAATAAACAGTTCCTAGCTCACCCAGTTTTTGTGAGGATTAAAATAATAAAAAGAATGTAGAATTCCTATTAGTGAACTCTTAAAAACAAACAAGGTGGCAGTGGTTGAGAAATACCACATCATGGACTCAGAGCCCCAAGAGAGTGCAGGTTGGATGACACACCATTTGTTTAAGACCTGAAATGACTCCCTGGGCCTGCAGGGTCCCCGGCAGCAGACGCTGGTGGGCTTAGTCATGACTCACAGACACTCTGGGGGCAGTTACTGGGATTCTGGTCCCCTCAGTGTGGCCGTTGCATAAGATGGGCTTTCTGAACACTCAGAGCGCCCTAAGCAAGCGGGTGCAGGACTCCACCGGGAGTGAACGGGCGGCAGGTGCAAGATGCTCATTTGCTGCTAGGAATTTTGCTGTAAACTCTGATCGGGATTTAGAGCTTATTACTTGAAGAATTGTTTTATGTAGGTTTTTCCTTATGTTATGTTTTTCCCCTTCATCTGTGGATTTTTAAATTTATCTTGTTCCTTTATTGTTAGAAAAGCAAACGAGTATTTGCTGAATGAATGAAAAAATAAATTTAGATAAATTCAGGGAAGAGGGAAGAAAAGCAATATAAATTCTTCACCCCATTCTGCAGTGTGATTTACAAAATTTACAGAGTGTTACAGAGTTTTATATGCTGTTTTCCATTATTTTTTGATCATCATCTGGATCTTTGGAAGCTGGCATTTATAAATTCCAAGCACTTTGCAATCCTTTCAACCTGTTCGCTGCCTCCAGGCAAGAGAACAGCTTAACTGAGCCAAACCCATGATTTCCCTCCCATTCTTGAAGGCTTTTTAAGGCAGCCTATTATATAGGTAAAATAAACAAGAACCATCGATATCATTTCAAAGAAAGTGAAAATGTTGCCTTATGGGCATTTTTAACAGAAGAAGGGAAACAACAGTATAAGATTGCACTGAGATTTTAAGGATTGCTTTTGCCAAATGGTGGATAATTTGCTAACCATTTTAGGCAATTCTTTCACACATTTTAACACGTAGTTAATGATCTTGCGACCAAGATAGCTAGATCAGCCCTATTTCCAAAATAAGTTAAATGTATGTAGTATACTTTCCTACTATTGAAAATTTTATGTTAGTTCCATTTACAGCCTGGTCTATTTTTTCAGACTGTGTCTAATCACAGTAATTGTTGAGGTTCATGACCATGTATCATAGCACTAGTACTGAGAGGTCTTTCTTTTAAGGGTCTTTCTTGCCTTTTTTATTACACTTCAGATCAAGTCAAATTCACGATCACAAGTTATGTCTGAGGAAGGTAGGACCTGGTGCATGAAAAGATAGGAAAGCCATTGCAGATCTCAGCAGCACCAAAGCAGGCCGATGGTGCCGGCAGGCGCACTCGCTCCTTCATGTCTGTATCTCCTTAGGGTGCAGCACTTAAGCGGGAATAAGAGTGTGCTTACCCAAATCGGACTGGAATGATCTTTTTGATGTCCCTTTATTTCCCTGTAGCTTGCTGACGACCGTATGGCTCTGGTGTCAGGCATAAGCTTAGATCCAGAAGCAGCAATTGGCGTGACAAAACGGTCACCTCCTAAATGGGTGGATGGAGTGGATGAAGTAAGTTGAATGTTAGTTTCACGCTATCTTATTTTTAATTATGACATTAACATATTTTAAGCTATCTGCCGTAAAAATGGATTTGGCTACACTTGAATGCATGTCCCTGGAAATATTTTAGCTTTATTTAGATTTATTCCATTTTCACACCACAACAAGGTTGTGTGTGTGTGTGTTATGATTTTGGCTTTGATTGTAGCTACCTGAACTATAGAAAAAAATAGAAGACCTACATAACAACGAGGAGTGGAATCTGAATTTCTGGTGATTTGAATTAAAAGTGGCTCATGCATCAGTGAGCCTGCAGGTTGGCTGGAGTCTGAATTCTGCACTCTGAGCGTAGCTTACTGTCTTGGAGGCAGAGAGATACCTGGCCGGCATCAGTGGAGTTCTGGTCATTCCATCTGTTTAGATACACTACGATGTTGGCCGGATCAAACAGAAGATGAAGGAGTTAGCCAGCCTTCACGACCAGCATTTAAACAGACCCACCCTGGACGACAGCAGTGAGCAAGAGCATGCCATCGAGATCACCACCCAAGAGGTCACCCAGGTGAGGGTGGCGGTGGGTCCCCGGGCGGGAAAGGCATCTTTCCCGGCCTTCTCCAGAATGTGGTGCATCCTAAATGAGATTGCAAGCCAGTTTCCTAGAGCTGCCATTCCCACCTTAAGCTCACAGAGGGGCAGAGGGGCCCTGCACTCTCCTCAGTGTGTGCCCACAGTGTTTTGAAGCGGGACTGTTCTTCAGTTTTGGTAGATAGGACTGTGATTGATTGACAAATTAAACTCAGAATTACTGTGTTCAATCATTTGATTTTAAATACATTAACTGCTGATACATACTAGGTCTTAAAATTTGTTCATGTTAAAAAATGATCTTTATAATTGAAAAGATGTGGCGCAATTGCCCTAGACTGAGTATCTTAGTATCCTAAAAAAAGTTCCTTGTAAAATGCTAAATTTGAGTAATTTTTAAATAATGTGACTTGTGTTTAAACTTTATACATTTTTTATTTGTTTAAATCTCCTGGGTGCTAATGACCACAGAGCAGGCATGTGGGAAGGGTGTTGTAATGTCTGAGTCCTGACTCTTAGCCATGTAAAAGTGGCACGATTCTCATTTAATCCCTCCAACTCCAGTGTTCTTGCCTATACAATGGGAACAATAGTAGTAATGCCTGCCTCCTAGGGCAGTAGTAGGGGTTAAACCAGAAGAAACGCAGTAATGGAGGGATTCCCGATACGGGAGTGTGACAGTCTGTGCTCAGTGGCCAGCGCACAGCACACACGTGTGCAGCATTTGTTCAGATCGGCTTCCATCTTTCTGTGGGTGTAAAGTAAGCCTCAGATTGCTAGTATCTACCCAACTTTCTCCACACTGGACTGTGCACAGAGCACTTTGCGTCTCACCCGGGGCAGTAGCACTCGCGGCCTTCTTTCCTGGCTCAGCCCCGGGCTTGCTCTCCCAGCTCTTCCACAGGTGCCAGCGGGCCGTGCAGGCTCTCCCCAGCCGGGCCCGCAGGACCTGCTCCACGCAGGAGGAGCGGCTCCTTGGCAACGTGGTGGCCTCCCTGGCACAGTCCCTGCAGGAGCTCTCCACTGGCTTCCGGCACGCACAGTCAGGCTACCTCAAACGTGAGTGTTGCCAGCGCTTTAAGGAATTTGGGGTAAGACTTACAGTGCCAGGAGCACAGACTACTTCTTGTTTTCACCCTCCTTTTTTGCTTCTAGCCTTCCATTTCGTCCTGTTCCTTTCATTGCTGGCTTTTGAGCACATTCACGCCTTCCCTGTACAACAAAAGGAAGGCTCCCCTCTGGGAAAAGTGCCCCAGTTGAGGCTGAAGGTGGGGTATCAGAATGGTTTGCATCTAAGAAAACAAAACTTAACTGCGCGCTTAGCTGAAGGAACTTGAAAATAACATCAAGCGCATTTTTAAAATCGAGGTGTTGGGGTAAGGAAAGCTGCTAAGTAAAAAAAATACTTGTAATCACGTTAAGGCTCCATATTTACACAGCAACTGAAGTATTTGGGGAGGCCTGGAAAGAATTTTCTGGGAGTAGGTTAAGTACTTCCTGTGCTGGCAGCCGTGGTCTCCTCAGCCTGGCTTTTTCTTCCTCAACAGTATAAAGTCAGGTTTCAGCCACAGTCTCGCCCAGCTGCCCTATGAACCGGGGTTTCCTTTATTGCCACTGTAATCGATGATCTCCCCACCATGTCCACAAGACCTGGTTCTCCTTCCCTCTGACAACTGGTGTATTTATATGTTAGTTTTATTACTTCTAAAAATTGATGAGAGCCATTTGGAATTCTTACTAGAGATGCTTCTAGAGAGAAATATTGATTTTTTAAAAAATGTTTTATAGCAGCAGTTAGATTAAATATTTCTGCTTCGCTTAGGGATTCTCAGATGGTTTTAAGTGTCATTTTTGTTTTGTCACTCACTTGTCATCAAGTGAATTGTACACATTTACAGTGTGATTTTTGTCTTGAATAAACCTAATTGCTTGCGTATTATTGTATGTTTATAATCCTTTCCTTTCCCCCTACCTCTGGTGGAGATAGGCTTCTTTTAAACCTGCTAAGAATATCTCCATTTGACTGTTGAGTTTTACTCTAGGTTCCCCTTTTCAATAGTGGAACAGTGACCAGGATGGTTTACATACTCGAGTAAAGTGAATTCCTATCTATGATAGGCATGAAGAATCGAGAGGAAAGATCCCAGCATTTTTTTGATACATCAGTACCACTAATGGATGATGGAGACGATAATGCTCTTTATGACCGGGTACGTGAAGGGACTGCAAAACTGGCTGCTGTGCATTTGCCTCCATTCTGTTTCCTTCTCTTCATACACCTTTAGGTTCTGTGCAGTGCAAATGGATCAGAGCGGCCTGACTCGAACATCATCCCATCAGGTCGCTTTTGCAGCAGGTGGAAGAACAGTCATGGAGGCTGTACTGTTTCTTCCTTTCCAGAGGCCAAGGGAGACCTTGTAATCTGCCTTCCAGAATCTTCTGAAGACCAGTCTGCACACCCCATTGTTGGGGAGAACCCAGAGGAATGCCGAGTGGCCCCTGTAGTTTTGCCGCCACCCCCCCCACCCCCCCTACCCCGCTTAGCTGCAGAGGTGGGGCTCCTGCTGTGCCCCCAGCTCCAGCTGTGCTTTAGATCTCGCTTGTTTGGGGAGCTTGGATCTTTCCTGCTAGGGAAAAACAAGCACTTATATGTTGTTTACGCACTTCATAGAAATATTTTCAGACTTCATTTTCTTTAAATTGTATCTAAAACAATACACCATACCTTTTGTGACTGAAAAAAAAAAATCTAACATACAAATTCTGTACTCTTTTGTTTTGCTAGAGTTTTACAGATGACCAGTTAGTGCTGGTGGAGCAGAATACACTGATGGTGGAGGAGAGGGAGCGGGAGATTCGCCGGATCGTACAGTCTATTTCCGACCTCAATGAAATATTTAGGGACTTAGGAGCAATGATTGTAGAACAGGTATGTGAGGTCACCTGCCTCATCCATGGGGTTTCCTCCCAGAAAAGCTGGTCTTTCTCCAAACTTTTGATTATGCACTGCTATCAGGAAAAAAACTTGAACCTATTCCCCTAACGTGTGTGTGTGTATGGGGGTTACACACATTTACATAGATTTGTATGTATACACATTGTATTATATAATACATAATCCTTTCTTATAAAACATCCATCCTTTCCTATAAAAATACTAATAAGCCTTTTTTCAAATAAAAAAAATAAATGTCAGTAGAAGTTCTCATATTCTCTGCCCACACCCCAAGGGTGCTCATGAGACCTGCCTACTTGGGGGGTCTGGCTGATTCTGCCCATGCTCAGCAGTGATTCTGGTAATAGATAAGGTTTCCCTTCTAATTTTGGCAGGTTATTGTGTAATAGCGACTGCAACCACTAGCTTTCAAGTAGAATTAGATTGTTTGTTCACTGTTAAAATCTGATTAGGGTATTTTATTATCTTGCCAGCAGGGATTTAGGTCCTGATCCCCCCTGAAACCAGCTGTAGAATGGAGCTGAGGCTGTGGAAGATCTGGTTACATTAATTACTCCCGCAGCTCCCAAGGAGCTGCTCTCGCTATCTCTTTTAATACAGCATGTTTCCATTAAGAGCCCTGTTCTTCCATATTGCCCAGTGTTCCCGTCTTCCTATTTGAACCAACAGATTAAACAATTAAAATTCTCCTCGAGGCAAATATGTAATTTTACATGGTGGGTTGGCGCCTACCATCTTTGCTCTGACCCTGGAGACCTGTGTTGACATTTATAGACATGATAGTCAGTTTCCAGGCTTAATCATAACTGGGTCTGGCTAAACTGGCATTCTCTGCTTACTTGAACCAGGTATTTAAGCAGCAAATGGGCACAGAAGCTAGTCCTTCGCCATTCAGAGCCTTTTTCCACTGAACCATGTATTTTTAAAGCCCCAATAAGTCTGAATATGGCATATCCTGTAGTGGCTAAATCCAAAAAAGAAACCTTGGTTTGCCAGTCCTCCTCATGAACTGGACCCGATTGCACCTGGCCATCCTCTGCCATTGAGGGCCCCCTGTTGCTGGAGGCCGGGTCCTGGAGCCTGCAGCCTGCCCTGCAGCACAGTGAAGTAAGGCAGGTAATCCTCTAGGGAAGGACGGCTGCAATTTGCCTATCTCATTTTTGAAGTTCAGTTTTTCTAGGTGTGGTTGTTGATTGTAACTTTTGTTTATTGCTCAGGGTACTGTCCTTGATAGAATTGACTATAATGTTGAGCAGTCCTGTATCAAAACTGAAGACGGCCTGAAGCAGCTTCACAAGGTAATGTCCACCTTCCAGCAGTGGAGAGCTGGAGGGACTGCTACCAAACAGCAAGAGTTGATGGGAGGGCACTCTCACCGTCACTGCCTTCAGCACTGATCTGCTGTCAGCTTTCAACATAGTGGCATGAAAATGCGCAAAATCGTTTTATTCGCAAGCCAGCCATGTGCACTGTGGTCATTTTACGGCAGTTAGTGATTCCAGGTGCACCTGGCACTTGGATCTGAAATTGCTGAGAACTCCCGTTTGTGACAGTGAATTCTGAAAGAATAGGGGTTTCCTCCCCTAAAGGATGTTCCATTCTCTTGAGTCCCCTCGCTTTGGGAAGGCAGTTGGAGGGGTACTTGCCGCATGTGTGTGGAGCGCCGTCTGCTTGCTGCTGCCGACTCAGGCCTCTCGTTGTGACGCGTTTCTGATGAATTGCTGGTGGGGAATCATTCTGGTGAAGATAAAGATGTAATTCGCGCTTTTAATCACCACAGTTTATCTGTGTACCACCTTGAGAAAAGAGTCGTTTGCTGAGGCGACAGTGTTCGCCCTCTTAGTCTTTGCTGATGAGGTGGCTGTATCAGGAATATTTTTGTGATACTTGTTAAAAATCAGAGGAAAGCATGTTGGAAATCTTAACAATCAGTTATGAGAAACATACATACACTGATGAGTGGCTCTCATATGGGTGCATTTTTTTAAGGAATATTTAGACTTCACAAATAATATAAATTCTGTCCATTTCCTTGTATCTTTGAGACCCAGTGGTGTTTCTGACCATATAATAAGCATTTTTCTGACTCACTGATATTCTGTATCATTTATCTGACGATAGCTGCCGTCACTGGCAGAGGCGGCCCCGTCTAATAGTGGTGTCGGGTCAACAAAAAGGGAGCCCTTGCACAGGTCTGCCTGGAAACCCCTCACTTTCTCTTCTGTGTGCCCGGTGCCATGTGTGGGGTGAGAATGAGACCCCAGCATATGGTGACAAAGGGCAGGCTCACCTTGTATGTGCAGAGGGCTTCTTTAGCATTTAGATTCATTTGGTTATCAAGCCTTGTGTATTAAAAGAGTGAAAACTATAGTTTCTCACTCTATAATCCCCACATTTTGATATGCTGTTGAATTATGCATTGGCTGAGAAGTTTCTTGAATAAAAACTAGTGAAACATGTTTTGTAATATAACAGAGATAAAAGGAAAAGCTTTCTTGGAATGTACAAGTCTAGTGGAACTAAAAATTTTGTTTTAGGTTCTAGTTTATAAATCATTTTGGTAGATTTCAAAGTATGTCATTTAGTACCGGCTCCCCTGGTATTCTGGATCACTTACTAGAAAGTAAGTGTGCTGCGTCTCACCTCTCCAGTCACGTTGCTGTCTGTGGCCCAGCTGGCCGTTCCTGGGCACTCAGCTCATCTAAGGGTGGTGGGGCCTTGGGAGTTGCTTCACACAGGCCAGACTCTGAAGACAGGTCAGCCTAGCTGTCCTGATGTTTCCTCCCTGTTGGTGAGCGGTTCCCAGTGGGTATATAGGCTCACTTAGGGGGCACAGCTACCAGTCAGAAGGTTGATGGGGAACATGGAAGTAAGAACAAAAGAGATTGGGTATCTTGGGTGTGTCCATCGAGCTGTCTCCCTTTGTCCTTCAGGAGGTGCTTGCCCCTGACACGGGCAGGGGCCCCTCACAGCTCTTCCCTGTTCTCCTTTCTCTGGTTCAGTCCTCAGGAGATGGGGCATTTTTACCTCTTTGCACAGTAGGCATGCTGTGACTCAGACGCGGCCACTGGGCTTCCAGGCCGCTCTATGCAGGCGAAGGATATAGGGATGTTGAACTTCCGGAAACTTCTCTCTGTTGTGTCATCAGAAGCACAGGGAGAACTTATCTCAGGTGGATTCTTTCTGCACATGATACCCAAGGGCACATGTCCCCATTTTCATTTAAAGGAGAAATGTGTGCTTGTTTCCAAATACGGAGGAGGAAGAAAACAAGCTCCTTGGGGGCCATCAGTTCCCTGCAACGTGGCTGTGTAGCCTTACCCCGTGTTGGCTTTCACCGTGAGGGAAGAGGGCATTCATCCCGAGGACGGTGTCCAGAGTGACTTCCATTGAAAAGTGGGCTATCGCGGCCAATGGGAGTAGAAGAAAGGAGAGTGGGTCCCTCTGGACCCAAAGCCAGAATTTTTGGCTTCTGCTGACCTTCACCTTAATGGAGGATCCCAAGCGTAGTATAGTGGACCCAGGGTGAATAGGGGGGCTGCGGGGCCTAGGAACTCTCCTACTGGCATTGATTGAATATATTGAATGGACGGAGGGGCTTGTAATCATGTGACCTGAGCATAGCAGTGATGTCAGTTATGCAGAAGAGACCACATGCCTGGAATTGGAAACAAGTAAGGCTTGATTTTGGATATTTGGGAAAATGACTACCTTTTTCCCTCTTTTTACAGGCAGAGCAGTATCAAAAGAAGAATCGGAAGATGCTTGTGATTTTAATATTATTTGTCATCATCATTGTCCTCATTGTCGTCCTCGTGGCCGTGAAGTCTCACTAAGCGGCGTCGGGTCTGTGTGCCACATGCGTGGATTCCCGGGGCTCAGGGCTTGCCTGCGCCCCGCAGGCTGCGGCAGAGGTGGGCCTGCAGCCCCGCGCCGGGGCAGGGTGCGTCTCCGTGGACTCCGCGTCACCCTCGTGCTCCGGCAAGGGGCATGGGCTTCCGTATTTCCTTCATTGCTAAGAATGTAAGGACCTTTGACATTGCTGCAGAATAGAGATTGGGTTCTGTATCATCAGTTATAATATATATTTTTTTTAGAAAGAGAAAATGAGTTGAATGTTTACAGGCACTCCACAAGCTGTTCAATATTATATGTGTATATGCTATTTTTTTAGCAGTCATGTCTGAGCAGCATGTTAAAATAATTTTTGGAAAAATTTTTTTTAGACCATCTGGTTTTTAAGAAATTTGGTACCAAAAATTTATGAGTAGAGGTAAAAATACCTCTTCATCTTTCCTATATATTTTCCAGTTGAAAACAATCTGAGAAGTCCCTTAAGAATTTATAATCCATCCCCCATTAACTTAATTTAGCTTTTCCATCACTGTTAATGATCAGAGTAACAAAGTGTGAAAAATAAGAAACCATCACTGATGTTAATTAACACATTTAGATGGGCCAGTTAAAACAGCTTCATAAGTTTAAATTAATTGTGAATGGAGTATTCCTCAACTAAAATGTGTGCACTGCATTTTCTATTGTAAACCAAAGGGGTTACTAAGCAAAACCACCTAAATTTAAAAATTGGTGATTTGAACTAACCTCACATTAAGAGGACTCTTGGCAGCATCATGAAAGTCACCAGCGTTGGCCAGTGTGTCCTGTGACCGTCCCCAGCCATCCTTGCTCGATCCATTACTTATATGCTAACTACATAATAACCTGTTCAGACCAGACACCATTTAATGAACTGTGAATTTACACAGAGGCCATTCTAAATGTGTCACCCCATTTAGGATTAGTGGATCTCAAATTATTAACCAAACATCGCTCCATTTCAGAGTAAAATATTCCATCACTGGTTTGATTTATTGGCTCTTCCATTGCCACTTAACATGCCCAGAAAGTAGGCATATTCCTGCAGCTGGTGAGCATCTTGGCCGGGAAATCCCTGGTTCGTGTCCACCGGAGTCGGACTTTGCTGTTTACTTACCTATGTTGTCAATATGGTGCTCGAATATATTCCAGGAACTGTAGAATAATGTGGAAAGTGATGATAACTTTGAAAACTGAACTTTATCTTGTTTTAATTGTTCTTGAGACACCAGTATGGTTTTAATGGTCTGTATAGTTTTTGGTAGCTTTTCCATTGTTTTTACTTCTCTTAAAAAGTTTAAGAAGAGCATGATCTCATTAAATGTGCTCCATTTTATTTGGACCAGTCACATAAAATGTCTCTCTAGAATTGACTTTGAAGTTGTTTCCAGAAATTTAAACTCATGTCCAGAGATTCAAGTTGTCTAAACAGATCATGGACTTAATACCCAAACCCCTGCCTTAGCCTTCCCTTCCCTGGTTGCTCATGCCCGCCAGGCAGCCCCTGATTTTCTTACTGCTAATGTGGCTGTAGAATGATGTAAAGGGATTTCTGGCATTTCAGGAAATACGGTATTCTCTGACAATTATTTATTACAAAGACCTATTATTCAAAGGTCAGGGCATAAGAATCTAGCACCTCCTTGGTCACCCCTGAAATGTGAGGTTTCTACTGATCTTAATAGGAGCTAGAGGTGTCCTTTGGTCCCAGTGGCTTTTAACCCAGTGGTGGAGCCGAGATGTTCTGTCTGACCAGGGATTGCTTGGAGTGGGGCTCCTCGGACTGGGCGCACGGTGTGCCTCCCGGATCACCTGCCGTGGTGATGCTGGGCTGGTGTTAAAGCTGCTGAAACCCTGCGCCTTCCTGGCCCCTTTAGGAGGCATCCTCTAAGCCTGCACGCTGACTGGCTGAGCCCCCCCCACCACTGTGCTTTACTGTTGAGCCTTTACTGGGGGGAAGATCAGAAGCATTGGGGCACGTAAAGAACACTAGTAATGGTGTGCAGACCCTCCCCTCGCCTGGGATGCACCCTGAGAAGAGGACCAGCAGGGAAGGCTCCTCGGGCACCCCTGCCCCCTGTAATGTGGCCTGCGGTGGCTCCGCCCAACAGGCGGGAGAGGAGAAAAGTAAATGTTTACTATCAGGGCTCCAAAGCTCCTGATCTTTCCCAGTTAAAACTGAAATCTGCTGTCTTTTGTTGTTGAGGGCTGGGGGTGCTGGCTCGCCATGGGCGTGAAGCATGTATGTCTAATTGAACGGATCTACCGCTTTCTCTGCTAATTGAGAGAGCATTATTTATTTGTTCTGACACTAGTGTTTTCAGTGGTTTATCCTAGCTAATGGCTTCTTAAAGGTAATAAAACCCTTCCAACCTAATTGGTCAGATAAGACTTTTTTCTTGTGTGCTTAAATAAAGCAATTAGCGAAACGCTTCTATCCAATGTGACTTTTTTGGTCCTTTTTTGAAACGAATTTACTGTTACTGGAACCTTTTTGTACAATAAAGCAGTCATGCTGATTCCAGAACAGCTGCAACCCTAGTATTGATTTTCACGACGGGGCCAGTGTTTTCTTCAAATGCGTCCGTGGTCCGGGAGGGCCTGGCCTGGCCTGCAATGACTGTTTTGTGTCTGAGGCCTTTGCCTCCGTGTCTGAAAAGTCCATCTATCTACCTAATGGACACCTTCAAAGGGACCAATCTATTTGATTCCCAGTACACAAAAAGGAAAACGCAGACAGTTATTTCTCTTATGAAATGTATACTTTATATATGAACCAAGAAACATTTGGAGATCGTCAAATAAAATTGTAGTATGTGTACCTCGTTGAGCAGTAATTCTCACGCCACAGGCTCCAGCAGACCTGGGTTTCTAAACGACTGAGTATCTCCTAGCCTGTCATACTGAGAACCTCAGGGATAGTGTTTGCCAGTTGAACTCAGAAGCCAGGGCTGTATTTCCCCTTGAGTTGGTCTGTGTCAGCTTCTCCTCGAAGGCTGGGATGTTTCTGTGGTGCGGAGCAGCAACTCTCACCCATCTCTGCTCCAGGGGAGGTGTCCTCAAGGCATGATGGGGCTCTAGGTCTACACCAGAGTGGATCCCCATACAATCCTGTCTTTACAGATAGTCACCTTGGCAAGGTGGGCATCAGGCCCGCCAGGCGGCTGCTGTTGATGACAATCAACTTCGAGTCTGTTGATGAACCGCACAAGAGAAGCACCCTCTTACTGTGTGCTTTCCTTGGTTTTTGACTAGAAGTTAGATTCCCCCCACGACTTGCTCTCAGCCATTCACTCTGTCCGAGAATCAAATCCACTGTCAAAGCACAGACATTTGCAATAGGCTTCAGAAACATTCTGCTCAGCAATAATGACACTGGAGAAATCCTCCACCCTGATGAGACAGCTGTGAAAGTGGCGACGTCAACATGTAGGCTCTGCAAGGCCCGGTAGCCTCATGGGTCACGTCACTGACAGGTTTGGTGGCCCAATCTTGAAAGAGTGCTACAAGTGTGTGCACCTACAAGCAAAAACTGCCTGTTGAGCAGAGAGCTGGGAAGGCTGGGCTCCTGGCCCTGAAGGTGTGACTTGCCTGGAGGCGAGGGAGTGGGGACCTTGGGTGGCGTCTTTTGAATGCCCACGTTGACTGTAGAACAGGGTGTATGTAGATGTACCCTGCTAAATCTAAGTGAGCCTTCTTTAGAACTGAGCAAAACCCCAAAGTGGAGTAACCTAGAATCCTTCTTGGTCTGTCTGTCGTGCAGCCAGCAAAACAATTTCCGTAGCCTAGCATAATTTGTATCTCAGTTTGATAGGACAGCATGTTCTTCTGCGTGCTGGCTTAATTTTGATCATTGGGATCCCCTATTCTAGTCAAAACACTTGAGAACCGTATGGAGAGACCTGCTAATGTCTTCCCTGCAGGGATGCACACTAGCTGGGGTAGCAAGGGTGGGACTGCTCAGGTGGTGGTAATTCATTGGTTAGTCACAAGTTTCCATTTCTTCTAAGATTTAGGAGGCACACTAAAGAACATCATTTGATGTTAGCTACGTTTTGGAACTTAGCCCTGTGCATACATAGAAATGTGGACCTTGACTTACATGTCTCTCTGTGTGTTAGCCCTTAAAAACTCCTTGTTTTCTCCCCAGATTCCCATGACAACCCAGATGCCAACTCTAATCTTGTTTAGTTTTGTTTTGAAATGGAGGGGGAGAAAAACCTTCAGAACTGTGGGTATTAGAGTGAACTAATGAGCACTCCGGGTGGGCCCGCCAAGAGGCCGTCCGCTCTTCTGGAGGCAGGCCCACTGAGGACCTGGCCATCAGACAGCGGGCAGCACGCCTCCTGTCCCTGACCCCACGACGTCTTTCTACCAGTTCACAGCTGGGTCTTCTCACAACTCAAAGGGACATTCCAGAGTCAAATGGCAGAGCCTTGTGCACAATTATCTGGTCATTTGAGGCAAAAGAAAATAATCATTTGTTCAGTTGTCCAGATTAGCTCTCTGGACTGTTCAGAAGAATTGTGTGGGCCTCTGCCTCAGCTCCGCAATCTGGCTAAAACGGAGCATTTCAATGAGACTGCATTCAACACAATGTGCATTTAAATCGGACTTAGTTAAAATAGACCCCTGGGTTTAGCATTTTCTGTTTGTCAGCTATTATTCTAAAATTGCGTTTAGCTAGTCATCCAAATTCCGCCATTGATAATCACTATTTCTCTCATTTTTTAGATGGCCTAATGGAGGCCAAAGGACTCTGGTTTGCATCACTTGGTCTCTTTCTCAGAGGAAGTGCCAAGGGCATCACATGCTTTTTAACTTGGTGTTGTGACTTGAGACCCATAGTAGACCTGTGTTGCCATCAGCTGTGAAAGAGATCTTCCACCTCGCGAAAGCTCCCCCTTTTCCAGACGGGATGCTGAGCTCTGCGGTTGCACGAGGCTCACCCGGGGCTGGGACGAGAATCTCCAGCTTTCTCATTTCCAGGCCAGGACTACTTCTGCTGATACCATTTTACTTGTTAATTTCTTTCCATAAAATTAAACGACCTTCTTCAAGAAAGATTTAATGGTCAAGATGTGATTTGGTAAAAGCTTCCTCAAGGATTTTTTTTTTTTATTATTACGAAGATTAGACCAGACTGAGGCTAAGAGAGATTTGCAAACAGTGGTATGTCATTATCCCTAGTTCAGTTTTTCATGTAATTGGTGCGAAGAGATTGCAGCTGATGACTAAGCCGGCTGCTGGACAGAAAATGATTCTTTTGTGACATGACTAGGTATGCATATGTGTATATCGTGGTTGTTTATGAAAGGTATATGTCTGTGTAAAATGCTTACCAAGATGGATAATGCCATTTTAAACGTGGTAAATAATAAAAAATAGTCTTGAGCAAAACTGATTTAATAATCGCCTGAGAATGTAGCACTTCATTTCCACACTATGCAATGACTAGAAATTGATTTTTTTTAAATCCAATTAAGCCTCAAGGTTGGTTATCCATTTAAAAGGTCGACTGAGTTAAACAATGACAGTACCTTCTGTTCATGCTAATAATTAAATTCACACAGAACTTCAGCATTTACATCATGCCTCGTGGAGCCGTATGTCGCATGCTTTTGCATGACAATGTGCAGCGGAAGGCCCAGCGGCGGTTACCACGCCAGTGGGTCAGGAGCCTGGACGTGCTGGGGCCCCACGCATTTTAAAAGTATAACTTCATAGTGCATATTTACCATGTGCTCCCAATATGCTAAGAAAAAGACTTTGAAATGTCTTTTTAGGGCTCTCATAGGTAATGTCGAAGTGTCACTGAATTTATGAAGATGTTAGGAGAACCACAAACCTGATTGGAATGCTTTTTGCTCTGTCTGGGTTAGCATGTCACTCAAGTTTCATAAATCACTGAGAAGGGGTAAGTCACGTGATTTCACACCTAGCGTTTAACCTGTATTGTGATGTAAGTAAGGTTGCTGCAATTCAGTGCTTTCAATTCGTAACTATGAACCAGCCTGAAATTTGGAACCTTCCAGATTTAGGGGAAAAAAAAGAACTGAATTTCCTTCTCCTGGCCCTGAAGAAACCTAATAATTTTTGGCTGGGTTTTCCTTCCCCCTCCCCTCTCCAGACTTTCCTCATACTGCAGCAGCCAAAATCCTCAGCTACAGATTTATGATTCTTTTTGACTTTTTAAAAAGATCCTCATTTAGATATGACAGAGATGTGTTGCTTTACACAGGGTGTTTCTGGAAAAAATGTGACTCAGGTTTTTGAAGACTGAACCATTTTCAAAGTTCTAGGGAAACATATTACTTACCAGGATCCTGTAAGTAAAGGTTTCCCTAAAGAAAGGCTTTCTTGATCAAATAAACATTTACCCCCTCTTTGTTTTTCTATACATTTTCATTTTTATGTGCTGAGCTTGCTTCAAGGAATGCAGAGCCACAGTGGGTCTGTTAATTATTTCTCTTCTCCATCCTGCAGCCACCCCATCCCATGACTCCAGGCTTCAATATGCCCTTGAAAACTTCCACAACTGCAACGATAATTTTGTTGGTGTTCAGAAGTAAATAGGAATTTAGTTCCCAAGACACGAGGGTTATTACCACCGGACACTGCGCCCCTACCTGGGAGAATAATTTAGGCTGTTAGAATGGCAAGGGACCTCCAAGAGCAGCTAGTTCAGCCCGCTCGTTTTATTGAGAAGTCCTAAAAACTGATGTTAGGAGGAACACTTTTTGTTGTTTTAAACAGCTCCTGTAATATGTTTTCATGAACACATTCCCTCATCCCACTCATCTCGGAAGGTAAAAGCACAGTGCTTGAGAGGAGATTACAGAATGGGCTCTTTTAAGCAAAGTGCAAAAGATGACATGCAATGTGCCTTCTTAGGTGTAAAATCCCTGAATATATATAATGTATTTTTTTCAAAAAGGAACAGTCAAGATAAACCAAAAACTAGTAACAATGGTTACCTACATGAGGATGAGTGGAAAAGGGGCATTGCATCCCTTTCGACATTCCTTCCACAGTTTTGACTTTTGAACCATATAAATATTGTACAGATTCAAAAGGGAAAATGTAAAAAAAATGAAAACAGCAAACCCTTATGTAGAATATTGTATTCTACATAAGGAGTCAGAAACATAGGAGTCTAGATGTACGTCAGATAGACAGAATGTATAACAATCAAGTACATTTTTAATATATCCGTAGGATACATTGTAAGGACAACAGCAAAAAGTCTCTAACTTTCCCTGGTGGGTCTGTTGTCCGCAGTGGAGGCTACCTGGGGCGTGTCCGGAAGGAACAGCTGATGATCGGAGGATCGGGTTGAGGGCGGCTGTAGAAGGAGCTGCGAGTGTGGAATGGGGGCAGGCGAGGAAGGGCCCTGTCACGTGGGATTTCAGTTGGAGGAATCAGGGTGAACTCACCCTATTAAAAAGAGTGACTCCTCCTTCTGTCCTCTAAAAGGATCAGAAACAAGGACACCCCAGGAGCTGTGGGCACAGCTGGCGTGCACAGCTGGGTTTCTAAATAGGGAGCTCTTCCTCTCTAAACCATTCCCCCCACCAAAGGAGTCGGGACTCCTTGGACAAATGGCTGGCCCTGATTCTGGGACAAAGGAGTGGAGTCAGCCTGGGGATCCTCTTACTGTTTCAGAAAGGGCAGATGTCCTCAGAAACTGGGGGGAACCTGTGACAAAGACAGGACCTGGCTGGTGGGGCTCTTGCTGCCTGCACGGGGCGCTGGAAGCAGGGCCACCGGAAGGCCTGCCATCACGTACAGAGGGGGGTAAGGCTGGATGGTGGGCATGCAGCCACTGCAGTCACACTGGCCCATATTTGGTTTCATGCTTTGCTGTGGCCATCTTGAAATTCTTTTTGAAAAAGAGGCTTTGCACAGGACCCCCCAGATTATGTAGCCAGTCTTGGGGCAGGGGGAAACAGGGAGGTGTTCTTTACTCAAGAATACCGAGTAATAAGTGGAGAAGAGCTGATACAGCTAGAAAATCACCCTGTTGCATCCAGAACTTGATTCACGCAGAGATCGTCCATTGGTTATGAAAGCCACGGTGGAAAGGTGGGCAAAAACGAGAACATACTAAGAGTCTCAGAGTCACTCCATGCTTTACAAAGAGGAAATGGATTCTCATTCCACTAGTTATAAAGGGGGAAACATACCTTTTTCATGAAGACACCTGGCCAAGCCCACTCAAACCAGGAAGCCAGCCTTGGCTAGTAACTGGAGACATGAAAGTCATGTGGCTCCTGACATGGTGCGGTGGTAAACACAATGTGCTTTGTTTGCCAAAAACGTTTAACCTGAATCTAATCCAAAGGAAAAATAGAGGAATCCAGACTGTGGGACCTTCTAGGAGACATGTCAGTGTCAGGAAAGAAAGGCAGCGATTGTTTGGATTAAAGGAAGCCAAAGAGATGACAGCCAAGCAAAATGCCTGGTCCTTGTCTGGTTGCTGGATTTGAAAAGAAAAAGCCAGAAAGGACATTTTGGGGACAATTAAACAGATTTTCATGTGGATTGTCTATTGGATAATAGTATTGTTTCAGTGTTACATTCCCATGGGTACAATCAGTACACTACTTGATTAAGGGAGCTAGTGTCCTTGTTCAAAGATACACACAAGTGTTGAGGGTTGAGTGTTGGAACTAACTTTAAATGGTACAGAAAAAAATGTGCTCATATGTATATATACACATATGCACGAATCTAAGTAAAGGGAATCCAAGTGTTCATTGTACTGGTTTTTCACCTTTTTCGTAAGTTAATGCATTTTTCAAAGAAGTTTCATATAGAGAAATGTGGTTTCATGCCAATTAGAGGATTTTCGATCCTCAGGAGATGTTTAGCACAAATCTAGGTGGCATGCCTGCTGAGGTACTTGTAAAATGTAACTGAGGCATTTTGATGTGCCGGCACTTGGGGCCCAGTGAGGGGAGGGGTGGACATGCACAGCGTGGGCAGCTCCTGGGAGGCAGCTACCTACACTGGCTTTGAGGTACCCACAAGCTCAGGTCCAGACCTGGAGGCTCAGTGTACATCCCCTGCTCACTTTACGTACAGCCCCACAAGCTTTGGAGGGTTCCAGAACGGACCCTACCCTGTAGTACTTGGGACCTTTGCATAAATGAGTTCCTGGTCTGGGATCAGACTGCCTGGCAGACCTCCACCTGTCCTCATGGCCCAGCTGGAACAGTTCACCCAAACCCAGTCTTCACCCAGTGACTGGATTTCTGGGGTTTATGGCTCTGTTGGCTTCCCCAGACCTTGGTGTACATATGCACACACACACACACACACACACACACACACACACACACACACACACGAACCCCATTGTGTCCCCAAAGCCTGCCCCACCTGGAGCTCTCCAGAGCTGATATTCAATAATGAATAATGAAGGAGGGAATCTATACACCAGAAAGGTGAAGCCAGGGCTTGAGGGATGAGTGTTTTCTCACATCAGGCACAATGGAATCCGGGAACTCCTTGGCTATAGGTTGGGGCTAAGCAGGCACTCAGGAACAGGTAAATCCTGGCAAGAAATAAATACGGAGATGCACATTTCATACACTAGGGCCATCTTACATGATAGGAGTTTAGAAATGTGTTCTAGAATGCAAACTACAAAAAAGCATCCTGGTAAGTGCTGAGAACTTTCTTTTGATTTCTTCCAGCAGCTTTTAGTCTTTTCCTGAACTCCTAAATTACGTCTGAACACCCAGTTGAGTTTAGATTAAGTCTTAAGTCATCAAAGACATTAAGTTACTTCTTGGGTTGCATTAAAGATCTGATAAGTTGTTTTAAACTTTCCTTTTCTAAAGCAAATTGAATCGAGGTGAATTTTTCATTGACGGTGAAATATTTACCAAGCTGTGGATTAATACCTTCATAAAGCTTTACCTAAACAAAGCACTGGCTATCACATTTATGTTGAAGTCTACAAAGTCTTCAATGCAGAGAGGAAAGTACTTTCCTGGAATATATTTGTATCTGTCACAAGCTGCATCTTGAGGAAATTGGCAGGCATTTTAAGTGGAATAATCCCTTAGTGCTCTGTTTAGTTTGGATTTCTTCGATTCAGGGGTGGCTTCAAACCAGAATCAGGAATATGTGCTTCTAACAAGCATCTAACATTTTTCTCTTGCTTTGTGTACAGTAAGTATCCAATACATGTTAGTTGAATTGAATCATCTTGTTCATCCTTTCTTGGGGCAGTTCTTAAATACGGAAGTATTCTAAAATAGGAAAGAATCTCCAAAACAATCTCACTGCCAGCAGTCTCCACCCTTCCAAGTCCTTGTACACAGAACTGTCAGATCAGGTTTTCTAACGTGCTTAATGGATGCTTCCTCAGTCTGCAAAAGTCTAGGGCGTGAATCAGACTCCCCAGTCCAGCCCATCATCTGCTCCCTCCCTGCTCTCTGGGAAGCCTCTTTCCTACTGGTTTCACAGCCCGTGGACACTGCCCGTCTGTGCCCTCAGGTTATCCACACCTGAAGGCCTTCCCCTGTCCTTTTCGCCTTCGGATGTCCTATTTCATCCATCAGGGCGGAGCTCATGTCCCTCACCCTCAGCTAGGGTGCCTTGAGCCTGTTGGCAATGTATTTGCAAACAGAAAAAAGGGTGATAGATCTTCATACATGCTCTTTGTATCCTTTACAAATGTGTGAAAACATTCAGCTGCTGTAAAATATTTTTGAGGAAAATAAGATCCGGTTAGTGTTGACTTTTGTCTGGGAAGCTGGGGGTTTTGAAGGAATTCCTTTCATTCATTCAACTATTTTTGAGTGCCTGCTCTGTGCCAGGTGCTGGGGGAAAAGCAGACACAAAGACCTGCCTTCACAAAGCTGAAGCTCTAATCTCTGGGGGATGCGGCTCGATGCCAAGGGGAGGGAGTGGACAGGGAAGACGAAAGTGTGGCTAATGGGTGGGCTGCAGGTCAGGGTGCGGAGACCCGCTGGGAGGTCAGGGCCAAAAGCCGCGGACAACACGCTGGGGAGCTGGCTTTGTTATTATTTTAAGGTTGATAATGAAGAGGAAACTCCAGAGGAGTGGTGCCTGTGTGGAACTAGCTGGCGGTAACAGAGAGGTGCCAACCGAATGCCCTTGAGCAATCAGGATGTGGGCAGGATGGGGTAAGAGATTTTTATTTATAAGTAGCTCCTGGGTAGAGCTTCCTTAGCTGGGCCATCACCCCCTGAACCTTGTACCTGAGCTGCAGCAGGAGCCAAGACCATTGCCAGTGGTACATGCACCACCCACCAGGTGCCCCGCAACCCTCAGCCAGGGCCCCTCCACCACCCACCACATGCTGCCGACACCCTGCCGGGTTGCCCGCCCCCGCCAACCAGCCTTCTCGCCTCAGTGCGAGGTGGCTCAGGTGCTGTCTGTGAGCCGCCCGCTGCCCCTTGCCCGCGTCTCCACTGTCCCTGAGGGGGCGGCAGGGGGCAAGCAGAGGCTTCAGGCCCAGCTCTCAGCCCCTCGCCAGCTGACCCTGCAGAGGGTGGGCTGGGAACCTCCCCCACTCGACAAGGTGATGCTTCGATTTATAATTGGCCATCCCAGAAGCACAGTCCAGATGGAAACCCACTTCCCTGATACCCACTCATACCCAGGACAGGTCCTTGAAAATAGTAGGGGTCTGGATAAATGTCAAGGAACCCTTAAGTGAGGAGGAGACTGCTGACAGGGTGGAGCACGCGGGGCAACGGGGCCTCGTGCACCCCAGGAGCTGGCACGATTCCAGGAGTCGCCAAGCTAGTCCGGACGCACGTGTGGGGGTGTGGGGTGGGGGTCCTGCTGCTTAGGGTGCGTGGAGACTCTGGTCTGGCGGGAACTGCCGGGGGAGGAGTTGAGGTCTGGCCAGGGTCTGTTCCACGGCACACCCCACGGCTGGAGGCCCCCAGGGGTCTCAGGGCCGCCCGCGGTGTCAGGGGTCAGGGCCGCTTCCGGGAAGGCCTGTCTGGAAAGCGGCTTCCTCACTTGGGGCGCAGGACGCAGACCGGGCCTGCCGCGGGATGGAGGCCCTCTCCCCCCCCACCCGGGCCGGGCCTGCGGGAGTGTGGGGCCTGCCAGCCTGCGGCCTGCAGGGTCGGGCCGCCCGGGGCGCCCGCTCGCTCTGCCCTGCCCCCCGCCCCCCGCCGGCCCGGCGCCCCCTCGCGCCCCGGGCGGGCCCTGCACGTCTCGCGAGCTGCCCGGGGCTGGGGGGGAGGCGGGGCCGGCGGCCGGGCAGGCCGGGGCGGCGCCGGGGCCGGGCCGGAGCGGCGCCGGAGCGGAGCGGGCGCGGGGCGCGGGCCGGAAGATGGCGAACGTGGGGCTGCAGTTCCAGGCGAGCGCCGGGGACGCGGACCCGCAGAGCCGGCCGCTGCTGCTGCTCGGGCAGCTGCACCACCTGCACCGCGTGCCCTGGAGCCACGTCCGCGGGAAGCTGCAGCCCCGGGTCACCGAGGAGGTGAGCGGGCCGCGCCGGCCGCCGCGCGCCGCCCCGCCCCGGCCGCCGGGGCCCCGACCCCCCGCCCGCGCCCCACGGCCGCCCGAGGCCCCAGCTGTCGCCCCCGCCGCGGAGCGCTCCGGCCGCCGCCCGGGAGGCCGCCCAGGCCGCGCGCGTGGGCCGCGCTGCTAGGGCGGCCCTGGAGTTCCGGCCCTGCCCTCCAGAGTCCCCGGGGCAGTGCCCACCTGCCCGCCTCGGTGGCACCTGGCAGGGCCCCACCCCAGTGCAGGTTTCCAGCATTTGAAGCGAAACAGGCCCCCACCTGGCTTTTTAAATCCCCACCAATCCCCCGAGGGTGGAATTGTGCCCGCAGACACACACTTGGCTCTGGCGAGGAGCGACACATCTTAATTGGAGCCACGGGCAGGCTGCGAGTGCGCCCCTTCCGCAGTGCGCGCGGCCACTCGCAGGGAGGCCTCCGGCGTGCGGACGGTCTGCAGCCCGGTGTCTGTCTCTTGTCTCTCCCCTTGTGCTCCAGCTCTGGCAGGCAGCCCTAAGCTCCCTCAACCCCAACCCCACCGACAGCTGTCCGCTCTACCTGAACCATGCCACCGTGGCCGCCCTGCCCTCCAAGGTGAGCCGGCACAACAGCCCCTCGGCCGCCCACTTCGTCACCCGGCTTGTGCGGACCTGCCTGCCTCCGGGAACCCATCGATGCATTCTGGTGAGTGCTTACGAGAGAAGGTGGCACCTCGTGGGCTTCGTGCTAAAGCCATCCTAGTGTGCTGGCAGGGAGCACATGCCTCCCTAACTCAGCCCTTGTGACTGCAGTGCGCTGTGGCTCACAGTATCTCAGAGGACCATGCCCTACAGTGTAACTTGCCCTACGAGCAGAGAAACTGAGGTCAGAGAGACTAAGCCATTTACCCCAGATCTGTTTGGTGACAAATCTGAGAGTCAGACCCAGATTTCCATCCCACCTAGTTAGTCCCTCTCTGTCCTACTTTCCTTCCTCAGAAGGCAGTGGATGACACCCGATGGCCCAGGTTTTCTTTCTCACTCACGGAGCAAGGCAGTAGTTCCAGGAGGGCCCCAGGACCATGGCTTTGTTGGGGCACCTCTGTGCAGATTATCCTCGGTGGCCTCCGACCCCGCTGTGGCACCCCAGCACCTCCTGATCACAGCCCCGCAGGTCTGCCTCTGGGTCCCGTGCGCCCTTTCGCCCCCTTCATGGCGCTGCCTCTCTGCTGCAGATGGTTTGCGAGCGATCCGATGCCTTCGCCTCCGCCTGTGCCCTGGCCCGAGCTTTCCCGCTGTTCACCCATCGCTCTGGTGCTTCCCGGCGCACAGAGAAGAAGACGGTCACGGTGGAGTTTTTCCTGGTGGGACAGGACAACGGGCCGGTGGAAGTATCCACTTTGCAAGTGGGTGTCTGGAAGTTCATACGGTGTCCCCAGGCCCCCACGAGCTCAGGCAGCCAGAAGGGGTGTTGGGAAAGGTCTCTCCCACTTCCCCCAGGGAGGCCGGGGGGGACCCACCGACAGCTGTCCGCTCTACCTGAACCATGCCACCGTGGCCGCCCTGCCCTCCAAGGTGAGCCGGCACAACAGCCCCTCGGCCGCCCACTTCGTCACCCGGCTTGTGCGGACCTGCCTGCCTCCGGGAACCCATCGATGCATTCTGGTGAGTGCTTACGAGAGAAGGTGGCACCTCGTGGGCTTCGTGCTAAAGCCATCCTAGTGTGCTGGCAGGGAGCACATGCCTCCCTAACTCAGCCCTTGTGACTGCAGTGCGCTGTGGCTCACAGTATCTCAGAGGACCATGCCCTACAGTGTAACTTGCCCTACGAGCAGAGAAACTGAGGTCAGAGAGACTAAGCCATTTACCCCAGATCTGTTTGGTGACAAATCTGAGAGTCAGACCCAGATTTCCATCCCACCTAGTTAGTCCCTCTCTGTCCTACTTTCCTTCCTCAGAAGGCAGTGGATGACACCCGATGGCCCAGGTTTTCTTTCTCACTCACGGAGCAAGGCAGTAGTTCCAGGAGGGCCCCAGGACCATGGCTTTGTTGGGGCACCTCTGTGCAGATTATCCTCGGTGGCCTCCGACCCCGCTGTGGCACCCCAGCACCTCCTGATCACAGCCCCGCAGGTCTGCCTCTGGGTCCCGTGCGCCCTTTCGCCCCCTTCATGGCGCTGCCTCTCTGCTGCAGATGGTTTGCGAGCGATCCGATGCCTTCGCCTCCGCCTGTGCCCTGGCCCGAGCTTTCCCGCTGTTCACCCATCGCTCTGGTGCTTCCCGGCGCACAGAGAAGAAGACGGTCACGGTGGAGTTTTTCCTGGTGGGACAGGACAACGGGCCGGTGGAAGTATCCACTTTGCAAGTGGGTGTCTGGAAGTTCATACGGTGTCCCCAGGCCCCCACGAGCTCAGGCAGCCAGAAGGGGTGTTGGGAAAGGTCTCTCCCACTTCCCCCAGGGAGGCCGGGGGGGGCTCCCGAGAAGGCCCTGGGGGCCTCTCCAGACGCAGGCGGTGGTCTCCGTATCCCTCAGGGTGGTTTTTGTCTTTAGGATTTGGCTCTGTTCAGCCAGTGTTTATTGAGCACCTAACAGTGCCAGGCGCTGTCATGTGTTAATGCTAATAATCCTGCCCAGGTATATATCATGTTGCCCGTTATGGGGCACTTTTACATATGTTATTTCATTTGATCCTCAGTATAATCCTTTTGAGGCAAGGCAAGGCTGGAGGGGATTTGCCACTTAGAAGTCCTCACGTGAGCGGAGTGTTGTGCCTCATTCCCCACGGCCATTGTCCCAGACCTGGCGCTGTGGCCTCCCCCTCCCCACTCCAGCCCTCCTCCAGCAGCCGGAGCCTGTGCCCCTCCCCACCCTTCACCTCTGCCAGCACCCCTGCCCGGCCTGCAACAGCTCCACTCCGCCTGGTTTCTGCCTTTGCACCCCTTTCCCAACCATTCCCTCATTCCCATCTCACTCCCTCCTCTCTGGGTGCTTTCAGCCTCCGGGCTGCACCCCAGATATGGACACCAGACATTCGTTCTCTCTAGCTCCCAGGGGTTCCTCTGAATTCCAGACCCACCACCCACCAGACCCCAGGTTCACCCTTGATTCCCCACCTGTTCCAAGCCCCTCCCCAGCTCTCCCTGCCAGCCACAGTGGACTGACTTGCTGCTGTCCCTGGGCCTTCTCAGTCCCACTCAGGTTCCCCTCTCCAGGCTCCTGCCTGTTCCAGGCCTGCCTAATCTCAGCCCGGCTTCTGCCCACATCGTCTCCCGGGGGTGGCCTGGCCGTGCTGGCTAATGTGGTCTCTCCCTCACTGTCAGGCCCTCTGCCAGCTGAATGCCATCCCCACCCGACAGCGCATCCCTTTGTTTAGTTCCCAAGCCCCGAGCTGGAATGGGGGCTCTTGGAGGACAGGGGCGTGGTCTTGTGCATAATCCCAGCACTGGCCCTAAAAGTGCCGAGGGCCAGCGGGTTGGTGCGTCTCCTTGGTACCTATGTCCCATCTCTCCCACACTGCCCACCGCCACTGCTGGGCCGCCCCACCCACACCCCGCTGCTCCCCTGGAGCACAGCCACCCCCTAACTGGCCTTGCTGCCTCCAGATGCCCCCCTGCTGCCTGACACAGGCCCGCCTGGCCACGGGAGTGCTGTGTTTCCCGAGTGCTCGTCAGGTGTCAGACGCCGTCTGAGCATGCGTGTGCGCACATGGGCTGGTTCACCGCACTCCCAAGACGGTGCTGTCATTGCTCCCAGTGTAGAGCTGAGCGAACACAGACTCGGAGACTGAGTGACCTACTGGGGCCGCACCAGCAAGGGGCGGAACCAGGTTTCCACTGCAGCCGCTGTCTGTCAGCCCTCCTTTCCCATCCGTCTTAGATCATGAGCACATGAACACCCTGTGTTGGCCTTTTCAGTCCCCATGGAGGTCCTGGTCCCCTCAGATCCCTGTGGCCTCCCATGCCCTCCTCCTCTGTAGCGTTTAATGGAGTGATGTATGGTGTTTCTCTGCGGATTGAAGCCCCTGGACAGGTTTGGCTTCTCAGAGTCTAGCACGGAGCCTGGCACATAGTAGGTGCTCACATCAACATAGATGGAATGAACGAATGGGCATATGACCCTGCTTTTGTGATGAGGAAGCTGAGGCATGGTGAGGCACCAGCTCTCCCCCAAGGCCAGTTGGCCCTGCAGTGCTGGGGGGTCCTGGGAGCCTCCCCTGAGGTGACGTCCACCCCGTCACTGAGCTGCTGCACTGCACAGGGAAGCCCCGAGTTCCAGGAAGTCTGCCAGGCCTGCGCTGGGCTCCTCCAGGACAGGTCAAAGGGCATTGCTGCACCTCCCAGGCAGCGGCCCTGGGCTATGCTGGAGATGACAGTGGGTCTACGACACCCACTCCCGGAGGAGAGCATGCTGGCAGGTGGTGGGGCCACACAGGCACATGTCATTTCTGATCTGTCAAGTTCTGCGTCTCTGCTCAGACGCTTCATTCGGGTCTGATCACCTGGGGACAGGCAGAGGCCCGGGCAGCAGTTCAGCAGGCCTTGGAGGTGGCTGGGCCACGCTGTTGACCGGGGCCCACCCTCCCTGACTGCAGGGCTGGAGAGGTGAGTAAGTGTGGTGCCGCCTGCACCCCGCCACCCGGCGCAGCTCCACTTGTTTCATGTTGTCCCCTCACTGTGCAGCAAAGGCAGCCTGGCTGCTTGCTGTCAGGGTGCAGGGCCAGGAGGTGCCAGGGCAGAGGTGAGGCAGCCGCAGATAAGAAGGCAGAGAACTTCGGTGGCAGGTCTCTGCCTGTCGGGAGGGCCTCTTGTGTTGTGGTCAGTGCTGGTCAGCACGTGGGCTGCCCGAGGCAGCTCGCTCAGGGCTCCCTCTGTGTGCCTAGGGCCGTGTGCACCCAGGGTAAGCAGGAAATGGCAGGGCAGCTGGGGCACTCACAGGTCCCCATGGGACCGTGCCTGACAGGCCACAGCACTGCTGGGCTGGCGTGTCCAGAGCCTGGGAAGCCGAGTGCTTCCTCCGGTGGGACGATCTGGGGGCCCTGGCTTTGAGGAATGCCTCAAAGTGTGGCTGGGATCTTAGGAGGGAGAGTGTTGGGTCTGCTGGGACACCATAACCCACGTAACTCACGCCACAGTGCCACAGGCAGGCGGCAGAGCCAACAGGCGTTTCTTTCCCATGGTTCCCAAGGCTGGAAGGCCAGGATCAGGGGAGTTCTGGTGAGACCTTGCAGACAGCGACCTCTCTGCGTCCCACGTGGCCTTTCCTCTGCACAAGAGAGGAGAGCAGCTCTGAGGGCTCCTCCTCTCCTCCCGAGGACACTGATCCTGTAAGATCAGGTCCATGATCAAGACTCATCTACACCCCGTCACCTCCCAAGGTCTCCCATTGCCACACCGGGGTTAGGGCTTCAGCGACTGAGCTGGGGCACTCAGACATGCCATCCCTAACAGAGGGCACACCTCCCTCTGCAGCTGTGGCGTGGGCAGAAGCCAGAGGTAGAAAAGCCCTGTGTGCGTTCAGGGCCAGGAGAGGGGGCTGCACTTATGCCCGGTCAGCACGCCAGGCTGAAGGGGTGCTGTGTCCTTCTGGATGTGGGGTGCAGAGCCATGGTCAACCTCCTGGAGATGGCTGGGTGGGTCACAGGCAGTGGGAGTCGCCCCTCTACCCCCTGGCCCTCACTGCCCTGTCAGCAGCCTGGAGACCTCCCCCAAGTTGTGTGTGCAAATGACGACTTTGGGTCCCCGGGGAAAAGGATGGGGTCCCTCCCACCTGGCCCCAGGGCCCCAGTGACAGCCCTTTTTTTTTTCCTAGTGCTTAACAAGGGCCACAGAAGGTGTGCGCCTGGCAGCCCGCATCGTGGACACGCCCTGTAATGAGATGAACACAGACAACTTCCTTGAGGTTAATGGCCCCAGGAGTTGTGCCGGGGGGTGGGACCAGGATGGGATGAATGTCCACAGACCCCAAGCAGAGTCAGGTGAATCTGGGGCAGGAGGGGAACTGTGTCTGCAGTCTCTGAACCTTGCCCGGGGGAGCCTGAGGCTCTGTGAACGGAGTCTTGCAGTCCACCCAGCTCCAAGAGGCCAGCAGCCCCCAGCCAAGGGCAGCGGGGGATGGAGCCTCCCCTCAAGGCCCCTCGGTAGGGCTGCAGCCATGCTGCAGGGAGTCGCAAAGGCTGGGGGGTGAGCCTCCTCTCCTGGGTTTAGTCATGCTCGAAGCCAAGAGCGCCCAGGCCACCAGTTCCAGGCCCGCCTCCTCTCCTGCCACGCAGGCATCGTCCCTGGCCTGGGACCTCGGCCTCGCCTTCAGTTAAGCCATCTTCATGTATCTTTGTGTTGTTTTTCCATGAACATATCCAGGAGATTAAGAAAGTTGGAAAAGAACTGGGGATCACCCCAACTATCATCCGGGATGAGGAGCTGAAGACAAGAGGATTTGGAGGTGGGTGGGGGCTGACCCTGTGGGGCCGGGGTACCTCAGGTGGCAGGGTGGCACTGGGCCCCTGACATGCTGTCCCAGGCTTCAACCCAAAAGAAACCAGCCTTTGTCCCACCCCAGGGTCCAACCCCAGGAAGCAGCCATCTCGGGGGGTAGAAAGAAGGCAGTGCTTTAGGTGCCGGCGCCCGCAGGGTCCAAGTCCAGCCCTGCCCGCTGCTGTGTGGTGTCCTGGGCCGGCTCTGCAGAGCCCTCCTGTGCCTTGAATGCACAGGTCCACGTCCACGGCAGGGCCTGTGCTCAGGGCTCCATCTGGAGCCCTTCCCCCAAGACAGCCCCACAGTGGGGGCCGGCAGGCCCTGCGCATTTCAGCTCGGAGCCACCTCTTCAGAGAGCCTGCCCCAGTGGCCGGCCCATCCTTCCACTCCCCAGGCATTGGGGGTGTGGGGACAACTGGGGCAACGTGCTTTCCAACTGGCCCGGGAGGGTCACTATTTGTTATCTGTGGCTACAGAGGAAATTAGCCCAGAAGGTAGCGGCTGAAAACAACACACCGTTATCTCTGCTCTGTGGGTGAAGGTGGGGCGGGGCACATGGGGCATGGGGCGGGGCATGTGCAGCGTGGGGTGGGGCACATGGGGCGTGTGGCATGGCTCCGCTGGGGCCCGGGGCCGGGGTCTCTCCCAGGCTGCGGTCATCTGAAGGCTCAATGGGGGTGGGAGATGTGCCCCCGGCAAGGTTCACGGGCGGCACTGCCAGCTGGCCTCGGCCACCCCCTGGCTGTTCCTTGTCACGTGGCCTGTCCCCGAGCTGCTCAGAGTGTGGCAGCTGCTCTGGTCGGACAGGCCTCTGAGTGAGCAGGAGAGAGCACGCGAGCAGAACAGCGGAAGCCCTTTTTTTGTAACCTAAACTTGGAAGTGGTATCTCATTACTTCACCCACATCCAGAAGTGAGACGTGAGGTCCTGCTCACCCTTGGGGGAGAGGACTCGCACACTCACGAATGCCAGAAGTGGGGACAGCGGTGGCCACCTTGCAGGTGCCTACCACAGACACATAAACCAGTCACAGGTACAGGAGGTGGCTGCTCTTGTCAGGAAAAGCTTCAAAGAGGTGACATTTGTAGTGGGTCTTGCAGGATGAGTAGGAGTGTGTCAGGCAGTCGGTATCGGCTCCTGGCTGCTATGGCTGTCAGTTCGCCTACAGGTGGGGAACTTGAGGACAGTGGGCCATGACCAGTGGAACGGAGAGGCCATGGGGGAGCAAGGTTGGAAAAGATGGTGCAGTTCTGAGCGTGCAGAGGGTTCAAGGAAAGGAGCACAAGTGGGGGGGGAGTGGCCTTGAGGTGTTATCGAAAAATTTCTTCATTCTGCGATCCTGTTTGTTTCTTTCTGGGAACAATACAGTATTTTTTTCTCAGAGGATTTTCTTGCCTAAAAATACTTCACATAGAATTCGTTTGCATCCCCAAAGCCCTGGAACTAATTGATTCCCTGATTCCACACCGGGCGGGCAGGAGAGGGGAAGGGAGCCCAGCTGTGGATAGCACAGCCCTGCGAGAAAATGCCCACAAGCTGGCAGGTATTTCCAGGGGGAGAGCCGGCGCTTCTGGGGGCTGCTGGGAGTCCTCTGCTCTGTTCAGCCTGAACCTAATGGACCCACTCTCTGTGCTTCCCACAGGAATCTATGGTGTTGGCAAGGCCGCCCTCCACCCCCCAGCTCTGGCCATCCTCAGCCACACCCCAGATGGAGCCACACAGACCATTGCATGGGTGGGCAAAGGGATCGTCTATGACACCGGAGGTCTCAGCATCAAAGGGAAGGTGAGGTGCAGGGGCCACCCTGGGCGGGGCCCGGGGTTGGGTGGGCTCTGGATGCATCATCAGCTCTCAGCTGCTTGGAGGAAGGCAGCAAGTTTCCCGGCACCTTGTGGTTGGGGCGTGCCTCTGGGAAGTGGGGTTCGGGGAGAGAGGCAGTGGGCTGATTCCCCTCCAGAGGGAGACCATTTCATGCCCATACTTCAAACAGGAGTTTGGGAGTGAAGAACCTAGACAGGATCCAGAGGGAAGCTGCAGAAGTGATGTAAGAACTGGAAAATGGAACCCAGGGAGGAAAGGTTCAAGGAATCGGGCAGTTCTGTCTGAAGAAGAGAAGGGTGTGGAGTGATGCCCACTGCCTCCAGGACTGTCTGAGGTTTCCCGGTGGGGGGGGGGCTGGTTAAAACAAGGGGAGTTTGGACCTGGAAGCAAGCCAGCTGAGAGTGTTGCTGTGAGGCCATAAGTCCCAGAAGTGTCCCATGGCGGCCTTTGAAGTCCAGAGAGCTCAGGAGGAAGGTACTTAAGGAGTGCCAGCAATACTGTGTCTGCCCGCCTCTGAGCGGCTGCCCTCCACCTTACCCAGGAGGGGCTGTGACGGCTCCAGGAGGAGGAGGGAGACGTCACCAGCTTTGCATCACACACACTCGTGTTGAGCTCCTGCCGTGCACCATACCTGGGCTGGGCTGTATGGGGCAGAGCCCTGGAAGGACTGGGAAGGAAAGAGCAGACATGGGACATTTGTGCCCCGGGAGCTCTGGAGGAACAGAATCAACCATCCCAGAGAGAAGGCTTTGGAAGGGACAGGACAAGATAAGCTCATCAGAGTAGACACTGAAAACTGGCAGCTCACACAGCTCACAGATGTGTCCTATTGGCTCAAATGGTGTTTTGCAATTTGAGTGAGTTAGCAACATTTAAAAACAGGAAGGATTCTCACAAAAGACTGGATTTCTAACCTTTTATAAGCTCAGATGCCCTGGCACTCATTCTCACTTGGTGTCATTCTGCTGATGCTGTGTGGCCGCTGCCTCTCTGGCCTTGAATCCCAAACCAGTTGCTATTTAGCGGTGCAGTTGTGCTGCTACTGTTTTAACTTCTCACCTGTCTAGTGTTTTTGGACCTAGAGTGGATAATCACCTTTTTTTTTTTTAACATCCGTCCTCCTCTAATCAACAAGATTATTTTCAGGACTAACTAGGAAATGAAACTAAAATAATAAAGATTTAAGAAACAAACACCATAGTGAATTCACTGACAGTGAATTCTTTCACTGAATTCTACACATATTATCATGCCATAAAAGATTAAAACAAACATTATGGTACAAATAAAGAAAACAGTATGGATTAACACTTTTAAATAGCATTAATATAATTTTTTAATAGAAAAAACTTAGGCATCCATTTTGGTCTGTTGTGGTAAAGGATGTTAGCCTTAGTTACTGTTTTCAGGCCTTTGCTGCAGCAGGTTTGTCAGTGACTTGATTCAAATGATCTTCACATCTTTATGCCCATGGGGTAGAAGACAAGGTTCCAGATTTGTCAGCCTGTCTTCATGCATAATTGCTCCAAAAACAGTATTTTAATTTTGAAGAGTTTCTGTCACATGAAGCAGCCAACACCTGAATACTCAGGAAAAGTCTTTAACATAATCCCGTGGCAGAAATGGCTACAAATCCTTTTTCTCAAGAAATTCCAGGGATTGTGAAACTTTCCATGTCTTCAGTTCTTGGAGATCAAGGCTAGCAGCTTTCAAATGTCTTGGAAGTAAGAACAGTTTAAACACAACACCTCTAGCTGTTCACACAGGCCTGGGAAGCCCAGAGCACGCTGAGCGCCCCGCGTCCTCGGGTTCACTCGAGTCTGCCGTGTGACTGTAGGGACGCGTGGCTTTACAGGGGCGCAGACACGGGCTAGGGTCAGCCGCCCGCGCCATTTCCGCACAACAGCTAGGAACCATTCTAAGTCCTCCGTGAGTCTGCCCCCCATCGGGCCAGCTGTGTAACTGGCCATTATGAGCATCTGTGTAGAATGTTTCTAACCAAATAAATAATGAAATAGGCAGATTTGAAGCTTTTATTTATATTAGGACTCACTTCAACCAACTACAGATTTTTGGGGGAGGAATATCTTACCACTGACGACAACAGGCAAACTGACTTTAGTTGGTTTATTGTTTTTAAATTCTCCGCATAAGATGTGTCCCATCTAGCTGCACCTGACGCTGGCCACCCCCTCACCCCCACCCTTGATACTGGCTCTCTCCCTGGAGGCAGCGGAGCTCTTGCTGGTAGCATCGTGGGCTCATTTCTCCTGGGATCAGATGCTCATTTTGTTCATTGGCTCATTGGAGGGCCAGAGTGAGAATCAGGGCTTTCTGGGAATCAGTCATTTTACTGGTGGCACCAGATCCTAATTTTGCAGAAACATTCACAGCTCCATTTCCAAATATTGCAAAGGCAAATCTGGGTCAGTGTGAACCAGCAGGTCTCAAATGTGTTAGTCTCTGGACCCCTTGCATTCTGAAAAAGTATTGACTCTGAAGAGATTTTGTTTATGAGGGTGATGTCTGTTGATACTTACCCTACTAGAAATTAAAACTGGGAACTTTTAAAGATATTTGTTATGTTAACATGCAATGGATTTATATTACTATTTTTAAATAACAAAAGATATTTATTAATTCACTTAAAAATAATGGTATAAACCCATTGCATGTTAACTTAGATAATACAATTTTATAAAGATAACTATATTCTTCAAAATTAAAAAAAAACTCAGGAGTGGCATTGTTTTACATTTTTGCACATCTCTTTAGCGTCAACCTGAATAGAAAACCATTGTGATCACACATCTGCTTCTGCATTTAGCCTGTATGTTGTTTTTCTTGAAGTACAAGAAAACTTGGCCTCATTTTGTAATTAGAAAAGAGAGAAGTATTTCAGAACCCTTTTCAGATAACTAAGGACATTCTTTGCTATTACACCAAAACTCAACAAGTGGTAGTTTCTGAAAGGTTGATTGTAATGTGGACTCTGAGACCATATCAGTGAACTTCCATGTTTTGTTACATTAAAGTCTACTGGTCTGTCTTGAACTTTGCACGATCTTATAAGATCATACATGGTCTTACATGCATGTAAGTCAGTAAGACTGACTGTATGAACAGTTATGCAGACCCTCCAAACTTTGACACATTTCACTATGTATTATTTTTAAAAGATCGTATTCATTACTATCACCATTCAGCTCATTTTAAAAGTCTCAGAGTATTAGGAAACTGTCATGGAGGCAGGTAAAGTGTTCCAAAGTTCTGACTTTGGCTTGACAGCTCCTATTTTACCATTGTCAACCATGCTGTCAGCTGGTCCCCTGGAAGTGAGAGGGTCACGTTGTTCATTTTTTGAGAAAACGCCTGCCGGGCACCTAAGTCTCAATAACCATCATGGAGCAGCTCTTTCAAGTAAAAATGGTGTTTGGAAGAACTCCACCATACACGCACCTGCTTCCACTCTGACCTACCAGCCGGTGTCCTGGGAGAGCGGGAGCTCTCTGCCAGGACCAGCCGTGTGTGACACAGGCGATGGTAAACGCCTGTACTCAGCGGTCGGGAATTTGAAAAGTTAACGATTGTACTGGTTCAGCAAGCAAACTCAAGTACAGCTGGCAAGGCCTGGTTTCCCTGGCAGGCTGGAACGGACTGGCGACTGCTGGCTCCCTCGGCGCGCCCCGGTCACCGCGTGGCTGCCACCAGCATTTTGCTCCACCGATGTGAGCATCAGCCTAGTGAAAAAGACAAGTGGAATCTTAGACTATGGAAATTGTCTCTTTTGTGAAAATAGGAACAACATTATGGGGGCCTGCAAAACTGACGCGGTCAGCTGAGCTGCACCTGCAGTGGGCATCTGTTCCGCTGGCGGCTGGGAGGCTGCCGCTGGTGGCCAGCTCGAGCCATTTTCTATATGGGCCAATTTACAGGGGGTTTGATTCCAGATCTGAGGCCCCGGTTTTCATTTAAACAATCCTGGGCTTTCCTGCAGAAAAGGGCAAAAGCAGCAGCTTATTTTCAGTGCGACTGGCCGGGTCATTTTCACTTGACTTAATTGTAAAAGCAGTGCCATTTATATCTAAAAATACTTCCCATTAAAACTCGAGGCTCATGTAATCCGATAAGGATTTTTAAAAAATCACGCAGTACATTTCAAATCCAAATCCTTACATCTGATGACCTGTTGTTAATTTAAAATATGAACTTGTCAATTAGAGTTGGGAGGCTGTAAAATGTAAAAATGTGTAACTGCTCTCAACTAGTTTATAGAAAAGCTCATTTGCCTCTGTGGCAGGAGGGTGCCTCTGTTTCTAGTGGTTCCCTCATTAGGCCCAGGAACCCGGGAGACGCAGAAGGCAAGGCCAGGTGGCGGGGGGCGGGGGGGGCACCTTGCTGATGGGGGTGGGATGCACGGTGTGACTGTGGTGGTTGGGAAGAGTTCACACTAACTGGAGCAGATCGTTCAAGGCAGCGACCTGGGGGGTCAGTGAGAGCACAGCCAGTATTAATGAGGCCGGGTGGTGACAGTGTGAGGACATGGGGCATGTTCCCTGCAAAGCTGGTGGCCAGGGCGAGGTGGTCTGAAGAAAGGCGGTCACAGGGTGGTCTTGAGTGAGGGTAGAAGGCCCGGGGGTTGGGGGGGAGTCGTGTGCTGTAGCAAGGATACAGAGTGCCCAGAGGAGGCTGGGTGAGCCGGACTTCCAGAGGGCACCAGGCTGTGGGCGCAGGAGACCTGTGGGGGCCTGGTCCCAAAGGAAGGGGGACTGGGTGGGGAGGACAGCCAGGCCTGGCTTTAAGCTGTGGCGTGGCAGCTGCAGGACACCCCAGGGATCTGAGTGTGGATGTGTCGGGGCAAGGGGAGACCTCGGGGGCAGTATGAGGGGGACAGGCCTGGAATAAAGCTCAGGGGTCTCTCCTTATATGGGACTTGTGGAAGAAGATGGGGAGAGAGTGGTCTGGCCCAGGGGGGAGGGGTGTCTGAGGGAGGCTGTCATGGAATCCAGAGCAGAGCTGTTCCCCATGGCCCCAGGCAGGCGGCCTGCACACCCATGCCTGCAGGTGGGGAGCAGGGAGCTTCAGAAGCAAGGAGAGACCCTCCCGCATGCCCAGTGGCGAGCTGGGATCATAGGGACCGAGAGCCGGAGCAGCAGGTGGCAGGTGGACAAGTGGGCAGTTGAGGTGTCCGGAGAGCTCGGGATGGGGGGCCCTGTGGCCATGTCAGGGTGAGGGTCTGAGTGTGCTTGTTGGCTGAGGTCTGAGGGGTGGGAATCGGGAAAGGGAAAGGTTGGTGCAGTCGGAGGGACCCAGGGCTGGCCCACCCAGCAGCAGCTGAAGGAAGGGGGAGTCGGGGGACCACGCAGGGGAAGGTACAAGGGCCAGGACTCCACTGCTGTTGAAGCAGGAGGCAGGTTGAGTTCTGAGCCAGAGACGACTGGGGACAGATGGGGACAGAAACCAGAAGGAAGATCAGCAAGGCCGGGGAGGGAGTGGGGTGTGCTGCTCGGTCACCCAGGGCAAGTGGATGGGGTGCTCTGAAGTGCAGGGCCTCTGGCTGCGGCCGGAAGTCATCACCCCGTTGTCGTGCGGTTGCCTCCAGGATGGTGAGGGCCCTGTGCTCTCCTGGCCTGCCTCCTGGACACCAGCTGCAGTGAGGGATAGAGGCATGTGGCAGCTGCAGGGTGGGGGGACCAGCCCCAGCCCCGAGACAGGAGGGCCGGAGGCTGCAGGGCTTCCGGCACCGACCTCAGCCCCAGGCCCCACATAAACACAGCAGGACTGTGACAAGTGGAACTCAGGGGCAAGGTAACTGTGGGCAAACCTGTCCCCATCCCAGGCCCAAGGGGACCCACAGCTCTGTGCCCTCCTGAAGCCCCCGGCGGTGCTGCGTGGCAGCCTCCAGACGGGCCTCCGGCAGCTCCAGCCTGCCCCTCTGCCCCGCTGTCCCAAGTGGCTCTGTGGGGTGGACCCCAAAGCTCCTCTCCGGCTGAGAGGTCCCTCAGCTTGGGCCATTCCTTCCGGCGCTCCTGGAGGACCCCCACCAGGCTGGGAGTCCTGAGGCCTGGGGTAGCCTCTCGGGGGCCCAGTGTGCGAGTGGGTGGGGACACTTGCTTTTGCTGGCCGGGTCAGCAGCCGCTCACCCCTCTCCCAATCTTTGTGCTGCCTGCAGACCACCATGCCGGGGATGAAGCGGGACTGTGGGGGAGCGGCGGCCATCCTGGGGGCCTTCAGAGCCGCCATCAGGCAGGTGAGTGTGGCCCCACCCTCTAGCCCCGCGGAGGGGCTCCCTGGGCGGGGGGGCTCTGCTGCCCTTCTCCCCAGGCCCCCACCCGGCACCTCCCAAGTCTCCGCGGTGCAGGGCCTTCCTCCCCACGCTCAGTGAAGGGACCAGCTGGTGGTGACTGGCCCCCCGGTTTGCCCCGGGAGGGGGCAGGTGCTGGCTCGCTGAGGCTCTGGTGTCCAGGAGGCAGGCCAGGGGAGCGTGTGGCCCGCACCATCCTTAAGGCACTGAGGCCTCGTCCCCAGGTATGCAGCCACGTTTTGTCAGAAAGTGCAGTGCCTTCGCCTGGGGCTCCACGCCCACCGGAGCCCAAAGGCTCTTAAAATGGGGGAAGCAGGGACTCCAGGGAGCCCCCTCTCTGCCCCGGAGCCTTGGTGACCTGACTTTGGAGCCCAAAGTCCATAAGAAACGTGTTCTGGGCCTGTGGTGGGGGGCCCCCTCCTAGGCTCAGCCCTCCCGTCAGTCACTACAGACCTGTTTCCCCAGAGGCTCCCTGGGCAGCCTGGTTCCCGAGAAAACCATGTGAAAATAAGGCCAGGAAGGTCTTGGCAAATAGTTTCTAATTCATGTGCTCAGGATTCCCTGAAAGAGAAGCAGAAACACCAGGAGGAAGGTCAGAGTCGGTCTGCAGGGTGCTGGGGAGTTCCTGACCTCTCTGGGGTGTTCTGACTGGCAGGGGCCGGGCAGGGCCAGCGGGCAGCCAGGCAGTTCTTGCTTTTGCCCCGCACGGCCGCGGGGAAGGCTCCTTCCCAGGGCCTCGCAAGCAGAGCCACCGGCCACAGGCCTTCCGAGAGCTCGGGCCAGTCCTCTGTGGAGCCCCGGGGGGAGCTGCCGGAGGAGCCCTTGTCCCCTTGCTCACCGGAGACCAGTAAGGAGCCACGGCCTGCATTTGATAAGGTGCCTTGCTCCCGGTGCCCAGCCCCGACTCCCAGGGCCCTGCTGGCTTGTAGATGAGCTTGTCAGAGGGCGCATGGGAGACGGGCCCCAGCTGTGGGGTGCCTGGGTGGCTCTCTAAAGGGAGCAGCTGTGGCTCCTTGGCCCCCAGGGAAGAGGTTTGGAAGGCTCCTGTGGCTGGCACTCTGGTCATCTTGCTGGACATCCGGTTCCTGCCCCGCAGAAGCACTCCAGCGGTTAGGCACTTCTGCGCTTGCGCTCCCTGCCTGCAGGGTGCCACTTGCAGTTAACGCTGAGGCATCAGTTGGTGGCCATGAGTGGCCTCAGGACTCCCTGGGCCCCCCTCCGGGGGTGCTGCAGCAGGGTGCTGAGGAGCCTCCCACCCCAACCAGGGCCACAGCCTGGAGCCTCCACTCTTAATTCTAACTTCTGTCAGCCTCTTGAAAGGGAATGTGCCTCAAACGGAACCACAAAACAAACAATGATGGTTAATGGATTAGAACCCACAGAATAAAACAGGAATCCACACATCCATACTGGTAGGAATAAACTGTTGAATGAATAAGTAAACAGGGAAGGAGAGAACTGTTTGTTACAGTGGAGTTCCAGTTGCCAACTGTATAAGGTGTGATGGAAACAGAAAATCTCCATTTGGCAAAAAACACTGGTGATTGTTTCAGGTGAGAATGAGCGACAGATGCTGAAGTCAGAGCGTGGGAGTGTGGTGAGCCGCAGGGCGGCTGAGGCCTCAGCACGCAGCCATCCAGTACGTGCGGTGCTCGTACCGCAGGGGCGCCTGGTGGGTGTCGCTGTGCCCTGTGGACATCCCTGGATGGAGGACGTAGTGTGCCTCTGAGAGGGGCACTAGGAGGAACGGAGTCTCTCTGGGCTTCACGCCCCGAGTGCAGGCACAGAGAGCCGAGAAGCAGCAGGGTCACCAAAGACAAAAGGCAGACCTCAGAGGCTCCAGACCAAGGACACTGAGGTGACAGCCAGGCACAGGGCACACCCGCCAGACTGGCCCTGGTACCCGAGTCAGTGGTAACCTCCCGGTGTAGACCAGGCCACTACAGCAACACCAGGTATTTACACTGGGAGAATCTCGGTCAACACTATCTGGAAATTGTACCATTTCTGCAAAACATTTTAAGTTTGAAATTTTTCAAAATGAAATGTTTTAACATTTTCAAAAGGGAAGGATATGCATCCCAGGATATGCTGGGAGCAGGGTGGTACAGTTCTGGGGCAGTGCTGACCTTCCAAGCCTTATCTACCTGGCAGCCTGCAGGTTTCCAGTCCCCCCTGGGGACCCCAAGACCTGTAGCTGACACCCAGCACCGGGAGCCTTGGCCACCTGCGCGTGGCCCCAGTACCCCTGGGGGCCAGCCTTCCCAGGACTTCCCATCCCCCTTAGCGGCCGCACCTGAGAGCCTCTCTGACACCCAGATTCTGGCTCTGTCCCAAGCGTTCCTCATCCAGAATTAGGCGGTGAGGCTGTCATCTGCTTTCCGTAGCCTGGGGGTCTGACGGGGTTAAGTTAAGTCAGGGGCCATGGTCTCTCCCCACACCCCCTGTACTGACTCGACACGTCACTTTCTCATTCTGCAAACTCCTCTCCCGTCGGATCCCAGGCCCAGTGCCCATTTCTCTGGGAAGATGTCAGTGTTCCCCTCCTTTTTCAGCGAGGTTCCCTTGTCCTGTGGCCTCAGGTCACATGGTCATCATCCATTTGTTCCCAGCCACCCACTCCCACCTGGACGGGAATGGCTGGAGGCCCCAGAATGGGCCAGGCTGTGAGCTGACTGAATGAATGTCAGTGGTTAGGGTCTTAGAGAGGAGAGCTTTGGGTGGGCAAGGCTCAGGGTCCACAATCCCCTCTCCCTCATCCTCACGCAGGCTGGCTGCGAGCGTGGCAGCAACTGCCTCTGGCCTTTGGGAGCTGACAGGTGGCCCCATGTGATGGCCCCCAGGAAGCCAGCAGGGTGCTTCCCCCGTGCTGTGTGCTGGGGTTTGGGGCCGTCTCTGAGGCTGGGGCAGGGTGTGTGGACCTGGAGCCGGGACTGTGCTGCAGGGGGTCTCACGGCTCCAAGCTGCTCCAGCCCACAGTGCTGGTGCCCACCTGCCGAAGGCCCGTGTTGACCTTTGGTTAAATCACTGACTGTTCCAGGAGCTGAGAACTTTGGATATGATAGGGCTGTTCGCAAGGGCCCTTGAGCAGTGGGGTGGGTAGGTATGCTCCAAGCCAAGAGGAGATGGGTCTCAGTGAAGGGCAGAGATGGTGCTCTGGGAGCTCTGCTCTGCCCGGGCAGTCCTGCTGGAATTCTCAGGGTCGCATTCAGAGCCTGCTTAGGACAGAAACCACCTTGGCCTGCACATTTCTCTTACAAATGTCGTCTGGGCATCAGAAAACTAACTTCACGCCTAAGTTTCTGAGAAGCCACACTCCCCCTGACCCCCACCCATATGTATGTGTGTAGCTTGCTTTCTTGCGGTGACATAGAGCTCAGCAGATTGGTGCTGTGAGGGACACTGTCTGCTGGCCGTATTTTATGGGTGGGCGGCAGGGGCTGCGTGAGGCTGAGCCTAATTGGCAGTACCAGGACTGAAACCTGGCAGCCCAGCCCTGCCTCCGGCTCCTCCGTGCATTGCATGGACTCTGGTGGGAGCTTCCCAGACGGAAGAGTCTTGCCCTTAGAGCCCACTGCCAGGGCTTCTGGGAGTGGCACAGGTGCTGTGCTCTGCTCCCTGTAGCTCTGTCTGTCTGTCTGCTGTCTGTGGGGGTCAGAAAGCTCCAGCTGGCCCTTCCTCCTTCGTGCACTGCCAACCTGTCACTGGAACCTCTGCTCACATCCCCTCCAGGGTTTCAAAGACAACCTCCACGCCGTGTTCTGCTTGGCTGAGAACTCCGTGGGGCCCAATGCCACGAGGCCTGATGACATCCACTTGCTGTACTCAGGAAAGTAAGGCTTCCCCCTCGGGCACCTGCGTCAGGCACCAGTTCCCCTCTGGCCATGCTGTCCCTGTTGCTGGAACTCAGGGCCCCCTCCTTCCCAGGGCCAAGCTGCTCACCTGAGCACTCCCTGTCGGGCAGGTTTCACCTTGCCCACCCCAGCCAGAAGGTGCTGGACAGTTCCTAAACAGTGGGCCACCCTCCAGGGGTGCCCAGGGGGTGGACTGTGCCCCAGGTTGAGGTGTTGGGCTCAGTTTGGGGTCCTGGCACAAGCTCACAGGGCCCACCCTGCCTTAGGGGATGAGCCCTTCCCAACCTTTAGGCTTCGTGTCCTCTGGGTGTCTGGAGGCAGCCCCCACCCCCGGCAGATCACCTGCCTGCGGGCCTTCCCTGCGTCTTCCACTTGAGTTCAGCCCTTGGACTGCTGCTTCTCAGCTCCAGAGGGACACACTTGAAGGTCACAGCAAGTAGCAGCTGGAAGAGCAGGTGGCCTGGGATGCAGAATAGAAGAGACCACTCACCGCCTGCCCCCTGCCCCCTGCACACGCACACACACACACACAGTGCCTGTCCCCAGGTGACCCCAAGGGGCATGTTCTCCTCTGCATTTACCTGCACTGTATGCGAAGGGGTGGCCGGCCCAGTTCATGTCCCCCCCCACCAACAACCCTGTTCTCCCATCTTAAAGACGAGGAAACTGAGGCACAGGGAGCTGGGTGGGGCTGACCCAGACGCCCTTCGCTCCTGCCTCCGAGAGGGCGAGTATAGGAAAGGGGTGCTAAATGGTGTCCTCCCAGGTCCAAAGGGACTCCCCGCAGTGCCCCAGGGAATGCCCCCCTGAGCTGGGGTCTCTGCCTTGCCCCAGGACCGTGGAAATCAACAACACTGACGCGGAGGGCAGGCTGGTGCTGGCGGATGGTGTGTCCTACGCCTGCAAGGACCTGGCGGCCGACATCATCCTGGACATGGCCACGCTGACCGGAGCTCAGGTGGGCCCCTCAGCTGCAGCCCACGAGCCTGTGCCCGCCTTGACTCTGTGGGGGGAGGGGCTGCGGGCACGGAACCTTGGTGACCCGGCTGCGGGGCTGGTCTGCGGCCAGCCGTGGGGCGTCCCCATCCTGGGGAGCCCCAGGCTCACAGCCTGCTTCCTGCTTTGCTTCTCCTGCCCTCCCGGGTGCCTGCTGCTTCCATGCGCCCGCTGTGCCCTTGCAGAGCATCGCCACAGGCAAGTACCATGCCGCGGTGCTCACCAACAGCGCCGAGTGGGAAGCAGCCTGTGTGAAGGCCGGGAGGAAGTGCGGGGACCTGGTGCACCCGCTGGTCTACTGCCCTGAGCTGCACTTCAGCGAGTTCACCTCGGCCGTGGCCGACATGAAGAACTCAGTGGCGGTAGGTGTGGGCAGCCTGGCCCTCAGGAAGGCAGAGCACCCAGGGACGTGCAGTCAGGGGACCCCCAGACCTCAGACCCACTTGGGGAAGCATTCAAAGGAGGACTGACTTGCCTCTTGCTGGTCTCCCTGCCAGCACGGCCCCCGGGCAGGCGCCGGGGGGCTTCCTCCCCACTCTGGGGTTTGCTCAGTGGCCCCCATCGGCTTCTTCACTGAGTGTGCAGTTGCCCAGGGCTGAAGGCAGACCCCTTAGCCCATGTGCATGGCACTCGGGCTCCCCCCTGCTGTCTCCCGGTACTAGGCCCCTTCCCCGAGACACCAGGGGAGACTGGGTGCATGGGGCAGAGATCTGGGTCAGGGGCATCCACATGGGGCTCAAACAACAGCAGCCCCGAAGGTACTTTTGGCAGAGCCCCTCCCCCCCACCCCCACTTCTGGGAGCAGGAGGCTCACTGGCTGCCTCCTGCCCCCTAGGACCGGGACAATAGCCCCAGCTCCTGTGCTGGCCTGTTCATCGCCTCACATATCGGCTTCGACTGGCCCGGAGTCTGGGTGCACCTGGACATCGCGGCACCTGTGCACGCTGTGAGTCCAGGCCTCGCCGTCGCTGACCCCTGCCCTGCTCGGACCTTTCCCCGCCTGCCCATCCCCACTGGCCCCGCCGCTTTCGCGCTCTCCTGCATCTAGAGCCCCTCTGGCTCCAAAGCTACAGGCTGAGCTCATGAGAAACATCCTGAGTTGAGGGTCACACTGCCTGTGGCCCAGACTCTGGCCAGCTGTGGTCCCACAGACCTCCGGCCTCCTCACCCCTGGGAGCAGTGATTGCTGTGTGCAGGCCTTCCCCAGCCAGCCCATCCTCACAGGAGACCCAGAGTCCCCAGGGTCCCCCTTTCCCAGCCCAGGGACCTGGGGGTAGGGCCAGAGCGCCCCATCCCCTACTCAGCCCTGAGTGTGTCTGGACAGCAGAAGGGGGGCAGTAAGGCCGGGGTTGGGGCTCTGCCCCTTCCTGCAGAGGTGGGCTTGCTCAGCAGGCCTGGTTCAGCCAGCAGCGAGTTTCCACCCCCTTTGCCCACAGGGTGAGCGTGCCACGGGCTTCGGTGTGGCCCTCCTGCTGGCGCTCTTCGGCCGGGCCTCTGAGGACCCTCTGCTGAACCTGGTGTCCCCGCTCGGCTGTGAGGTGGACGCCCAGGAGGGGGATGAGGAGAGGGACTCCAAAAGGCGCAGGCTGGTGTGAGGCCGGCCGCCCCCTGGCCACTGGCGCAGCACAGGGCTCTTTACCTACTTTGCACTGATTAATTCTAAGCAGCTGGAAGATTATACCTTAAGGTGGGCTTTGGTTTGTTTTTGTTTTGAGTTGTCTTGGTGACGGAAACAGCTCCTTCTCCTGTCTTAGAAGACAGCTGAGGGCTGGCAGGGGCCCCGGGGCAGGTTGGGAAGCTCGGTGGCTGTGTCTCTTGGGGTTGCCTGCCAGCCTCCCCGCCAGCTTCCGCAGACTGTGCTCCCCGCTGGGGCCTCTGCACGACCTCTGGGCCCCAGGATGCATGGCGGCCCTGACACCCTTGGCCCCTGGGGCTCCTGCCCCCGGCTCAGTGACCACAGTGAGTGCCTATCTCTGGCCCCAGGCCCCCGCATGGCACCCACATTACAGAGCCCAGGCCTGTGCTCCAGCCAGAGCTGCCACCACCTCCAGGCAGCCCATCCCTTTGAAAAAATGGAGGTGACCTGCTTCAGGGACCCAATTTTATGGAGCAAGAAGAGTCTCCTCTGACCCCTTGGAATTTACCAGAGGTCACATTAAATATGGCTGCGCCACACTCGCCCCTGCGCCTCCTCTCATTTCTCCTGCCCTGCCTGAGAAACCAACCCAGGGGCCTGCCTGCAGGCCAGAGGCTCCGGGCTGCTGCCACCTTCTTCCAGACCAGCCGCAGCTCGTGAGCATCGTCTCTGTAGATGCGCGCCTGGGCCTGGGCAGGGGGACGAGGGCTGCCCTGGTTTCCTGAGGGCTCACAGTGCAGACACCAGGGGGGCGCCCTGGGCTTTCTGGGCCCGCCAACGACCCTGCAGCCTGCCGGGAAGGCTATCCGGACTCTGAGCATGTGACGAGGTGGACGCTGTACCTGGGCAGGTATGTCCCCTAAGCCCTCAGGGCCCTTGGGCACAGTCCTGGATGCTGAGGGCAGGGCCTGCCCAGGATCCAGGGAGCCCCCGGCACAGGCCCTGGAGGGGCAGAGGGGCAGCTGAGGCAGGCCCCCCATGCCCGGGAGCCGGCTCTGGCAGTTCAGGTAAATGTAGGCAGGCCTGCCCGCTCCCAGGCTCCGTCCCAGCAGGCAGCTGGGCCTAGAGGAGGAGATGGGCACTCAGACCCACGGAGCCCAGGTGTGGCTGCCGCACCCACCTCTGCTGGGGACAGAGGGGTGGGGACATAGCTGCAGAGCACACACCTCAGGTGGTGCCCTGCCCTGGTGACTACCTCACGCCTGCCTGGGGGTCCCCAGACTCCAGGTCCCTTCCCCAGCCTGGACATCAAGGTGACTCTTTCTGAGCTTAATCCCAAGCAAATACTTATTAACTGCCTGCTGTGTGCACAGCCCTAGCTGGGCCCAGAAAAGGCGAGTGGCAGCTCTGAGGCCCTGGGCCCGTCTGGGAAAACCGTGGCCCGACATGTTAAGTAACACTAATAGCTGTCACAAGGCAGTGGGTGGGCAGCAGGTTCTGTGAGCTGAGGGGAGGCACAGCAGGTGGCCGGAGGGGCCCCGGAGCCTTCATGGGTCATTAGCTTGCTTAATGGCCTTGCAATAAAGAGCTTGCTCCAGCTTCCCTCTGAGATGCCCTGAGGAGGCAGAGGTCACTGAGGTGGGCTAGCGCCTTCTCTGGGCAGCTGGCACTGTCCATTTCCCCCTCCCAGGGGCCTGCAGAATGCAGGGTCAAGGAGCAGGGGACGAACTGAGTCTCCCTTGTGCGGGCACAAAAGCAGCCTCAGGGCCAGGGACCCAGCTGGGGACCAGCTGCAGGCTCAGGGCCTGGCCTGCATGCCCAGCATCAAAGGGACCATGGGGGTGAGCCAAAGGCCTTGCTTTCCTGAGGGCCAGAGGGCTTTTGGAGGCAAGGGCTGCATCCCCTGGCCCCGCTGGAGCCCTGGCAGCAGGGTTGGGGGGTGGCCGGCGGTGGGGGCAGGTAGGCACGGATGGGTCTACTTGACCATGGTTTCCGATGAGCAGGGAAGGAAGATGAAGTTGGCAGCGAGCTGCTGCTCCAGCTCGCGGCCCACGAAGATGTCGGAGCGCATCGTCCGCCTCGTGCAGCGTGTACGTGATGGAGCAGGCAGCTCAGACGGAGTGCTTGGGGACGAACTTGGCCACAGCCAGGTTGATGCCGGATGATATTGTGGGGACTGCCTAGAATGAAACTTGTCCCCTGGTGCATGACCTCTAAAGGCTGGGGGCCCCTCCCGATCACATATGCGACCCCCAGCAACCTCTAGCCCAACACATGCTTGTTGACTTTGACTTTGCTGAGTGAGTCTCTGTCTAGAGCTTCCATTCAGACCATGTTCCCCGGTGAATTGATGTTCAGCATTTTTGTTTACTTGTTTGTTCTTTAACAGAAGGTTGTTTTGGTTTGAGATTCAGCAAAAACATGCACTGCATTCAGCTTCCTCTGCATTCAGGATTCAGTAAATTAGTTGTTTTCTAGTCTGCTTTGAGTCCTTGCCTCAAATGAGCCTCCAAAAAGATAATGCATTTAAAAGCCCTTGGAAAAGTACCGGGCCCCCCTCACATGTGATCCACCGTCGTCACGCAAGCTTGCTCAACACCGCACCCTGAGCCGGGTTCAGCTCCCGGAGAACCCTGGCCTAGGTGGGGGCCCTTGCACAGGGCCAAGGGAGAGGGCTGCCTTCAGGCCCTCCTCCTGCCAGCTGGGCCCCCAAAGCTTAGGCCTGCCCCCCTGAAAAGCCTGAGGTTTCTGGTCTCTGGCAGCACTGTTTGGGGGCCAGAGGGCAGAGATGTACAGGTGGGGCACCCAGGAAGCAAGCTCAAAGGGTGACACAGGTCCTTGCTGACTTCCAACTGCTGGGCTGTTCTTGCTCCCCACCATGGTCCAGGGAGTATTCTTCAATCACGACACAAAATAAATTTAAAAGACCCAAACTGTAAAGCTCTGAGGCCTGGTTTACATTCATCATCAACATAAGTGGAACACAAGGCAGCCTTCAGCTGAAACTGGACCCTGACGGTCTATGTGGGAGACTGCATGCAGCCGGACCTCCCTGCAGTGCTAGAAGCTTCCGCCTGCTCCGTAACTGCGACCTCTCAGCTGGGTGGGTTTCAGTGGCATCCACAAGCATGCTTAATCAAGGGCATGATGGCCTGAAGGCAGCTTCTTCAGCCAGTAGCATTTATTAGATGCCACTTTATATGACTGCTCTGGCATACTACAGCGTTTGGAACCCAGGCTCTGGTCCAGGAGGTTTCCAGAGGCCTTGAAGGGGGAGCCAGAGCTGCCCTGAGGGAATCTGGAAGTGCCCAGAGGAGTTGGGCTGAGTGAGACACATATGCCAGAGGGTACCCCCAGGCCCACCTCAAATGCTTACTTTCTTGTGCCAATTGTGGGGATGTGATTAGCAACCCCTAGAATAGCTGACATTCCATGAGCAGCCTGCCTCCTGCAGGGCCAATTGTTTCCACCCAGGAACACGCACACTGTGCTTGGCTCCAGCTTCCTCAGCCCAGAGTCCTGGAAGTGGCACACCGGCCGAGGGGCTGCACCTGGCACAGGGTGCCCAGCATGGAGGAGGGACAGTGGCCTGGGCCCCCGGCCTGGGTGGGAGGCCTGCACACACCTGCCAGGTCCGCTGTGCCAGGGGAAGGGCGAGGCTGACACGTGGTCCACAGCCCAGGCAGAGGCACAGCAGGCGTTTGGAAACGTGGGGTTCTGCTGGCAGGATGTGGCCACTTTCCACGGAGCCCAGCCGAGCACAGAGGCAGGACTCTGATGAGCCACAGGCTGCCCACCTCTCACTCCCAGGGCGGGAAGACAAGCACCATGAGCCCTATACTCTCCAGCCGCCAGCCTCCTGGCGAACCTTGGGAAGGTTCTGAGGGCCGACAAGGGCTCTGCCACCCCTCCTTCACCTGAGAAGGTGCTTTTGCTTTGGGGTTTGGTTTGTTTTCTGTTGAGATTTTCAGAGACCAAGCAGATGCCCTGAGGGTAGTGCGCCTGGGGTGGGAAGGGTCTGGTGAGCACAGCCTGCTGGGCCTCCCCACCCCCCAGAGGAAGGCGCTGTTTCCTCCTGTGGACAGAAGACAAGGCGGTTCCATTTCCTCCCCGGCTCTGGTAAGAAAACGTGCTGTAAATAAACAGCCCACAGCAGTTGTAGCAGAGGGGCCAGCGCAGCCAGAGAGGGCCTGGGGAGAGAGCCAGTGGGGAAAGATCCTTCAAGGGGATGGTATCTGAGCAGAGATTCCAAGGATGAGGGAATAGTAAGTGGTGCAGAGGACAGAAGAAATAATTTCAGAAAGAGGGAACCCCTTGTGCAAAGGCCCTGGGGTGGGAGAGGCCATGATAAGCTAAAGGAGTAGACAGGAGGCCAGTGTGTCTGGAAAGAAGAGAGGTGGGTGAGGGGAGGTGGGTGTGATGGACAGGCCCAGGGCATAAAGCCTTACAGGCCATAGGAGGGAGGTGAGTTTTTAGTCTAAGCAATGGGAGCCATTGGGGAAATTTTAAGCAGACACGAGGCAGGCTGAACTCACACCTTGAAGACAGCCCCTGATTGCAGTTCACCAAAAGCCGCCCCCTCCGTCACCAACCTGCGGGAGCCCACGCCAGCACTTGGTTGCAGCTGGAATAAATTCCAGTTCCAGGGAAGGCCCAAGGTTCCAAAGAGGGCCAGTGCGAGCAAATACCTTAGGGACGACGATTTCCAGGAGCCTGGGCCTGACAGCCGAGCCCCATGCCTGTGGTAGTAGACTCAGTCCCCTCCCAGGGCGCAGGGGAGGCATGGCTCTGCCTTCTGGCCTGAGCCCGGCCTTGCCTGGCGTGTGACCTGATCACTCCACCTCATCAGTAAAGAGGAGTAAAAACACGGCGCTAGTGTCCCTCTCCCAGGAGGCTGTGAGGGCCAGCAAGCAGAGCGGCAGTGGTCCTGGGAAAAGGATAAGCTCTTAAGAAATACAGAAAACAGCTATGTGAAGATACCAGCAACTGACAAGCAGCAAGCCTTGAAGGAAGGGACACCCCAAGACAGGTCTGCATGTACACGACTTTGTCCCTGAGGACGCCCCCGGTCCTGAGCACCAGGGAGCTGGGCCCCCAACAGGAAGCCTCGATGCTCCCCGCCTGAATGTGAGAGGGCGGAATTCAGGGCTGCCGAGGGGCTGAAGGTCGTGGAGATGGGGGAGTGCAGGGGGAGGGCAGGGAGAGGGCAGGCAGCACGTGGCTCACACCCTGTCAGCCTTGGTCCCACCGAGCTCTGTTCCCAGCCGTGATGGCAGTCGGGCAGGGGGCGGATGGCCCTAGTGCCTTAACCAAGTGGGAAAACCAGGCAGACGTGCACAAGGCACTGGAGAGTTAGGCCTGAGCGCGAGGAAGCGGAGGCCACAGCTGAGTGCACCCAGGGAGGAGGGCCCATCAGGGCCGGTGGTCTTCCTGAGCTGGAGGGGCAGTGCTGGGGATTCGGGGAGGCCAGGCGCAGAGTTGGCAGGAGAGCTGCCTGGCGTGCGAGCAGTCCAGAGCTCTGCAGAGGCCCCCTGCGGCTCTTCCGCTGCGTCCGGCTGAGCACACGCGGGTGAGCAGGAGCAGAGGGCACAGTGGGCACACCGCGGTGAGCAGAGGGCAGGCACGGACAGGCTGAGGGCTGAGCCACCGCGTGCACCCAAGCAGCCCATGGGCCCTGGAGCGGGACGTGCTCTGGCCGGGCACTAGCAGCTTGGCTGGAGCCACTGCCCACGGAGGCGGAGAAGGAGCTGGTGGGCTGTACCCAGTGGGACAGGCCTCTGGCGAGACAGGACAAGGGCCAGGGTGAGCAGAAGAAAACCGCCGTTCTGCAGAGGGCTTTTAACAGGGTCCAGTCTTCTCACACAACAAAAACAAACCGAACGTCCAGGATAAAAATCCACCATCATAAGGCATACCCAGAACCAGGGACGTCGGCCGCATCTCCAGGGGAGGCAATCAGACAACCCGAGAGGACCCCAGATGTTGGAATTGTCACTCAAAGATTCCAAAGCAGCTGTTCTAATCATCTTTCACTAGGTAAAGCTGAACAATTGGAAATGAATGGAAAAATAGAAGTTTGGGCAAAGAAAGAGAAACCTAACAAAAGGCGCTTAACGCGATGTGGTACCCTGGATGGAATCCTCAGACAAAAAGGACGTCTGCGTAAACACGGGGGAGACCTGAATGCAGTCGGGGTTCGGGCTCGCAGCGTTGTCTCACTGCCAGCAACCGGTCTGGGTGGGAGGTTACCATCAGGGATGACTGTGTGAGGGGTATTTGGAGGAAACACCCCATGTGATCTTGGCAGCCTTTCTGTTAATATAAAATTTTATAAAAGAAAAACTTCTCTTAGAATCAAATCAAAATCCAAAATCTGAGAAAGTATATGATATCAAAACTTCACTGGATGGGCCAACAGCAGAATGAAGATGACAGAGGAAAGGTCAGTCAACTAGAGAATAGGTCAATGGGAATGATCTAATCTGAAGAACGGATCTCAGGAAAATGGGCGCCTCAGAAACTTGTTAGACAACATTGACAGGCCTGCCACTCCGGTCCTGGAAATCCCTAAGGGGAGAGATCGGTGCAGAAAAATATTTTAAACTTCTTTATTGAGGCATGATTGGCATACAAAAAGCTACGGATATTCAATGCATTAAATTACAGACTTATAATCTATCACAGTAAATTATTTAAACAATTACAATTTAACTTGTAGATTATGGGTAATTGATATGTTTGGCGTGAAGTGACACCATGACACCCTCACCATCAACAACTAAAAAGCAACCAAGAAATAAAGCCAAAAAGCCAATAGACAAAAATCAATGGAATACTAACAATATTCAAATAATTCAAAAGAAGGCAGAAAAGGAACAGAGGAAAAAACTGAGAAAGACAGAAAAACAATAAGAGTGTAGACCTACATTCAATTACAGCAATAACGGCATTAAATCTAAATGGTCTAAAAACAGCAATTAAAAACAGATATTAACCCCAATGGATAAAAGGAAAAGAAAAGGGCCCAGTTAGGTGTGCCGTCCATCAGAAATGTACCTAAAATGTAATTGTTCAGGGACCAGCAAGGTGGCCCACAGGCCCAGCCCAGCCCATGACCTGTTCTAAAGAATGGTCTTTACAATTTGTAAGGGTTGTGAGGAAGAGGAAAAGAAGAAGGGAAAGAGGCAGAGACCGTATGTGGCCACAAAACCTAGAATATTTACTCACTGGCCCTTTTTGTAGAAAAAGTTTGCTGGTTCATCATATTGGCAGATTACAAAGACAAATATGGAAAAGATATACCAAATTAACAGTGATCAAAATAAAGCAAGGAGAGGCCCCATTACTATCAGACAAATTTTCTTCAGATCAGAGAAAACTACTACGTGTAAGCAATACCATTACATAATGATAAAATAATCAATTCACCGAGAAGACATAACAATCCCAAACACGGATTTCCCCACTGACAGAGCACAAACT